TGTGACTGGTTTGACAAAAGAAAGCATCTATGGGTACATATCAACCCCCTAAAATGACTGTGGAATATTTGCATTGTTCAACTTGTTTTGTTGTTATATTTCATTTGGAGTACACATAAAATCAGCATTCAGAATATAGTTCACATACAGTCTTAACTAAATATAAGATACAAAGTATATCTATGGATAAAAACAAACAAAACTATTCCAGTGTCAGGATGGCAATACATTTTTGTTGGAATTGTGTACGTTCGTGGGTTTACTTGAATCGACCATAAGTTTATGAACTGTGTGTATTAACATTGTGAATATGATATGAGTTGGTTATATTTTGTTTGAGGTGATGGAAATTTGGTAGGGAGTAGGGAATGTTTAATTTGGATATGTTTTGTTTTGTTACAGTTATAGCATGATTTAAAACATCATTTAATCTTTCTTGATATCCTAAAAAAAAACTTTTGGGGAAAATTCTAGTTTTGTCTGATCCATTTTGCAAGGTTGATCACAATCAAATAACATGTGCATTAAGGTTTGTTTTTCTCGTTTACAAAAATTTCAAAGAAATGATTTTTTGCTCAGCAACTCGTTTGTTAGTATAATATCTATGAATAATTTTGTAGGAAACGTTATACCTGATTAATGATATACGATTAATGATTTGGCAATCTTTTCCCGTCATTTTTTGGACAAGATCTAGTTCCCATCTTTAAATGTATTTTGGGGATGTCATATTGTTTGGCACCTTATTTATTGTATCATAAAATATTCTACACGTTATATTCTTCCCGTGTAATGTTTATAATATACCGGAGTGTTCCCTATTCTTATATTCGTATTTTGCCATAAAGGTTGTGATAATATATCTTCTTCCTCTTTGATAGAATTTCCTTGTTTGAAGCTTCCCCATGCATACAGAACATCTTTCCAGAATACATTGGTCTAATCATTAATAACCGAACTATAAACTTGGCAGTTTTGCAGACAATCAATGTATGTTGGAGTTATATTATTAATCAAAAGAGTGGCAAGTTTAGAGTGTGGATGTGAATGGAACAAACGTTTAATCCAAGATGTCTTTTGAGCAGTGATTGTATGTTTAACAGCCGGCACTCTTATACCTCCCTCTTTATAAAGTTTTATTTCAATAGTTCTGCTGATTTTGTCTGGTTTATTTTTCCACAGAAAAGGAAAGCACGGTTTTTCGAGTTCCTTTATAAATCTTTCACTTGGATTAGGTAGGATTGAGAAAATGTGGGTTAGTTTTGGTCAAATAAGACTTTTTAGTACAGTTATTCTACCTAATTGGGTCAGGTCATGTGCTAACCAAGTGTTCATGGTGCTTTTTATAGTTTAAAGTTTGTTTTTGTAATTTCCTTCTACCATTTCTGCCACATTATGAGTAAAAATAATACCGAGTGGAGTTAACCTTTTTTGGACCAATCTAAATTCCAACTTTTGCGAGCCTATCCACAACGCTTGCTTTTTGCTTTTGTTAACTTTTAGGACTGAAAAAGACGCATATGTATAAAGAGTTGTTATTGTGTTTGGGGGACATTCTTCAATTCCATCTAATATGAGAGATGTTTCGTCTGCTTATTGGAAAATTAGATATTCTGTATCATCAATACTTATTCCGCTTATTTTTATATAAGTGCGTAGCATTAATGCTAAACTTTCAGCGCATAACAAGAATATGAAAGGAGATAAATGATCACCTTGTCTATATCCTCTTGTTACTTTAAACATACCTGAAGGAAAACCATTTACTAAAACACTAGATTATATATCGTGATATATCCAGTGCTTAACTGAAGGCCTGAAGTTCAAACAGTCAAAGCTTCTTGAATGAAATCCCAATCTACTGAATCGAACGCATTTTAGTCTTTAAGTAATAACACTTCTGAGATTTCCATGCATTAAGCAAAGTTCATAATATCGTAAAATGATCTAGTGCGTTATCCAATGTTTCTTTTAGACATAAAACTTCTTTGATTTTCGTTAATTATTGTTGGCAGGACTTTTTAAATTCTATTTGCTATTGTGAAATTGGTCTCCATGTATTTAAGAGATGCCTTGGTTAGTGTTTTTTTAATGCTTGCTATTAGACACTGCTTTTGACTAACTGATAATTCTCCTCTGGAAACCTAGATTCAATGATCGTATCAGATATTTATACAGATCTGGATCTAGAATTCTACAGTAAGCCCATCAGGGACCGGACTTTTTTTTAATTTTCCATAATTTTAAAGACGTTAAAACATCGTCATAATGTAACTCACCTTTAAAGGTCTGATTGTGTGGCGTGCTTAGTTTTGGAATATTAAGGTCCTTAGACATATCACTTTTGGGACACTGGCGGCAATTTTTCAGCATAAAAGACAGTAGACGAAATAGAGTTGTGTTTTTATGGGCAGAAAGGCGTCAATCAAGGCAATGTAAGAACTGGAATTTATTGTACAGCTATTCAAAATATGAGAGCTTACTGTAAACGTTTGTATGCCTTATTCATATGTTTGGTGCACTTGACATAATTATTGTAGCAGATTTACTGATTCATGGTCTCAAAATATTGACACAATAATGTAAAGGTACGCACCTACTGCATGTTCAAAACTGTATGTGATGTGAAACATTATGCTGCCCAGAATATGCCCAGGCATTACCTAAAGGTCCTGGCCAAGTTCAAAAGTTCAATGCAGATATCTGTTGGTGCAATGACGCATATAAATATATAAAGGTCTTTGGTTGGCATATCGGGTTCGTGTTCGTAAATTGTCTTCTTCAGAATTTGAATTGCAGCTGCCATAGCTACTACCATAACGTACTAATATCGGACCTGCAAACGCAGGCATGGCACGTACAGCACCGGGCCAGCCAACAAGTATCTGTTTTATATTTCCAGGTATCTCCAGCGCCAGTAAAAGTTAGATTTGTTTTGTATACAATAAATGTTTTTGAAACTTTCACGTTCTGATGTTGTTCCTGAGTTCAAGTCACAAGTTGTGACACGGTTCGTCCACATTTATAGCAGTATCCTTCTGAACTAGTTATTTTGTTTTGCAGATTAATAACAGAATCAGTGGACACATCATCTGCAAATAAGAGCAAAAATATTTCATCAATATCACAATCAGTGAAGAGTGTCATCACTCTTCATAACATTTACTAGTTCATCTATGTACATAATAAACAGTCACGGTGAAACCGCATGAGGTGTCAAATAAATTTGTACACTGCGAAGAACTAAGCATCACAGAAGCTTTAACTTTGCTATTCATACATTTAAGTACATTAAATACATTTCCATGGATGCATTGTGTAATATAGTAATTTTGTTCTTTCAACCATATCAAAAGTTTTCTTAAGATCAATGAACAAACAATATAAATGTACTTCCCTTTTTTCTTAGATAAACAAATATATGATCAATAGTCGAATGACTCTCTAAAACCAAATTGTGATTCTGATATGCAATATTAAAGTTCAAACACAAGAGTAAGTCTTGTATTAATTACTGATGTTAAGATTTCCCCATAATATCTAGGAGTGTGATATCTCCATTATTATTTGGGTCAGGTCACCTTTTTTGCTTAAAGACAGTGGTAATAGGCCTATTATTACAATCCTGTAGAAAATATCTCTCCTTTAGTACTTCATTAAAAAATTATCAATAAATAAGGCAATAGGAGTACATGATTCTTTAAATATTTCAGGTGTGAGACCATCCAGTCCTGGAGATTTCACAGTTTTCAGTTTCTCCATTGCATGTTTAATTTCTTCTTCTGTTATTACACCTCCTATTAATTCATCACACTGTGCACATTATTCACAATTACCAATTTTTTTTATCTAGGATGTAATTCTTGACATATTCGTTGAACGCAGTATCTGATTCTATCTCTGGATTTAAAAGTGTCTCAAAATAGGTCAGTCATTCTTCTACTGATATATCTTGCCTTAATTGTTGTGAGATCCACAAAATGTCGCAACTAGTTTCCAGGTCTAAATTTGATATCTGTTTTTTAGCACTGTGGCAGCTGTTGGCAAACCATTTTGGTTGCTGGTAAATTATCTTGGTTGTGTTACTATGTATATATATAGTCTATAGTAGTTCCATAGGGTTGTGTAATCTTATCTGTGTTTTAAGGTTTTTATATTGTTGTACAGAAGGTGAGACTTCAATAAAATATATGTCTGTCTGTCTGTCTGTCTGTCTGACAGGTCATGTACGCCGAGAAAAGAGGCGTCATTGGCTCAAATAAAATGCAGCAATATCTAGGTGTCTTTGAGTGTTTTTGTGACGGTAGCAAGTTGCAAATATATCATAAAAGTTCGAATATTAGCGTCCAATGGAGCTTACAGAGTAGACAAGGTAGAAGTTCCCATGTCGTTCGTGCGTTCGTGTGAGAGAGAAGTTTTATGCCGCGGTTGGCACACTTCAAGCCATACCACTGCGGAGAACACCAATTATTCACACATTGTTTCCATATGGGGAATCGAACTCGGGTCTTAACAACTAGGCTGCCCCACGCACCTCGTGACGTAAGACCAGACAATGAGGTTTGGTGGTTGCAAAAGACGTGTTTTTCTGTAGTATATTCAACATTTTTACCCTACGTAAATATTGACTTAAACGTCTGTATTTATAGCATATTTAGAGACAATTTAACCACCGCGTTATTATTTATAGATTGTTTGACATGTTTTGCACATCACATAATTATTGATTTAAACGTCGTTCTTAAAGTAGTTTATTATTTTACCTACGCCATTTGACCATCAATTTGTGAAATAGGTTCAAAATATTTTATCGCAAAAGAACACAAGTTTCCAAGACCTGGCTAACTGTGTGTCATAACACCGCGAAAGTCCAAATTAAAACCCACACTGTAGCTAAAATACAAGTCGCCTTGCTGTTGCTGTGGTACAGCAACGTATCGCAGTGAACCACCTTCATCATCATTTGCAGAGGCTCAAACATAAAATCAAAATAAGGTTTGTGCTAGTTAAAACCGTGCCCTGTATCAAGACTACGAAGCAGCGTTGTGTGATCAAGTGAGCTTCTAGAAACCTATCCTGTTTGCTATCAGGGTTATAAGTAGGCCTGCAAGTCACTGAAGGTCCAGTCCTGTTCCCAGAAGTGATACACGACAGGTACCATCTTGATTTCTTACTTTCCTTACTCCTTGAAATATTACACTGTGACTTTGATTTTTAATATATTTTATGTCGAAACGTATTATGTTATTTACAGTTGCCCTCTAAAACGATATTAATTGTTTTCATTTTTGGGTTATTACAAATTACCAAATGTAATGTATGTCTTGTGGATTTTCTGAACACAGTATATTTGATGGCGAAAAGAAGGTTTTTCACCTCATAATGAAAGCTGAGAAACAGAGACTTGATCTTTCATTTTGTGTAAAAGTGTATTCACACTGCTTGAAATAGACTTAACTAACAATGCGTGGATTACAATACGACATCGATTCCTGTAGTACCGTTATGGAAAGCTAGATGATGTTTGAGGGAGCGGGAGCTATCAAGATACTTTTAAACATGTCGCTTTTCACTCGGATAATGTGATGTGTCATTTTGTCAGTTTTTGCGTGGAACACTTTCAAATTTTTATTTTGGGTCTTAAAACCACCGTTTACCGCCTGGACAGCCATTGCCAAGATAAAACATGTAATTTGTGACAACATTCGCCTCATTCGCGTCATGTTTGTCTTTGATGTCTATTTGAGTTAGGTATGTCCCAGCCGCATCAAGGCAAGGGACATGAATGATGGACCGTCTCTAAAGTGGGATTCGCTTGCCTGACGAACATAGCAGTCATTCCTTTCTAAAACCCAACACGGGCTTCACGTGCGATACAGCAAACTCTTTTTCTAATTCAGTATGATGAAGTTCCTGATTGTTGCTTTGGTAGCAATGACTGCCGTCATTGCCGACCACCATCACGACTACAAAGACCCTTCTAAATTCGCCGACTGGCTGAAGGATGTGCAGAAGAGCCACGAGTTCGCTCACATGACGCCAGAAGATAAGCTCCTCTACAGTCAACTCACCCAGGCTGCCGAACAGGGAAGTGCCGCCCTCACAACCTTCATCGATAGCCAGACCTTCGACAAGATTGTTGGCCTCATTGATCGTATGTTTATATGTTTGACCATGTGTATGCTCATGGACACTAATTACACACAACCATGGCTCAGATGGACACTTATTACACACAACCATGGCTCAGATGGACACTTATTACACACAACCATGGCTCAGATCGACACTAATTACACACTACCCTGGCTCAGATGGACACTTATTACACACAACCATGGCTCAGATGGACACTTATTACACGAAACCATGGCTCAGATGGACACTAATTACACACTACCCTGGCTCAGATGGACACTAATTACACACAACCATGGCTCAGATGGACACTTATTACACACAACCATGGCTCAGATATGGACACTTATTTCACACAACCATGGCTCAGATGGACACTAATTACACACTACCCTGGCTCAGATGGACACTAATTACACACAACCATGGCTCAGAGGGACACTTATTACACACAACCATGGCTCAGATGGACACTGATTACACACTACCCTGGCTCAGATGGACACTAATTACACACAACCATGGCTCAGATGGACACTTATTACACACAACCATGGCTCAGATGGACACTTATTACACACTACCCCGGCTCAGATGGACACTTAATACACACAACCATGGCTCAGATGGACACTAATTACACACAACCATGTCTCAGATATGGACACTAATTACACACAACCATGGCTCAGATATGGACACTAATTACACACAACCATGGCTCAGATATGGACACTTATTTCACACAACCATGGCTCAGATATGGACACTAATAACACACTACAATGGCTCAGATGGACACTAATTACACACAACCATGGCTCAGATGGACACTTATTACACACAACCATGGCTCAGATGGACACTTATTACACACAACCATTGCTCAGATATGGGCACTTATTACACACAACCATGGCTCAGATGGACACTTATTACACGAAACCATGGCTCAGATGGACACTTAATAGACACAAACATGGCTCAGATGGACACTAATTACACACAACCATGGCTCAGATGGACACTTATTACACACAACCATGGCTCAGATGGACACTGATTACACACAACCATGGCTCTGATATGGACACTTATTACACACAACCATGGCTCAGATGGACACTGATTACACACAACCATGGCTCAGATGGACACTTATTACACACAACCATGGCTCAGATGGACACTAATTACACACAACCATGGCTCAGATGGACACTTATTACACACAACCATGGCTCAGATGGACACTAATTACACACAACCATGGCTCAGATGGACACTTATTACACACAACCATGGCTCAGATGGACACTTATTACACACAACCATGGCTCAGATGGACACTTATTACACACAACCATGGCTCAGATGGACACTTATTACACACAACCATGGCTCAGATGGACACTAATTACACACAACCATGGCTCAGATGGACACTTATTACACACAACCATGGCTCAGATGGACACTAATTACACACAACCATGGCTCAGATGGACACTTATTACACACAACCATGGCTCAGATGGACACTGATTACACACAACCATGGCTCTGATATGGACACTTATTACACACAACCATGGCTCAGATGGACACTGATTACACACAACCATGGCTCAGATATGGACACTAATTACACACAACCATGGCTCAGATGGACACTAATTACACACAACCATGGCTCAGATGGACACTTATTACACACAACCATGGCTCAGATGGACACTAATTACACACAACCATGGCTCAGATGGACACTTATTACACACAACCATGGCTCAGATGGACACTGATTACACACAACCATGGCTCTGATATGGACACTTATTACACACAACCATGGCTCAGATGGACACTGATTACACACAACCATGGCTCAGATATGGACACTAATTACACACAACCATGGCTCAGATGGACACTGATTACACACAACCATGGCTCAGATCGACACTAATTACACACAACCTTGTCTCAGATGGACACTGATTACACACAACCTTGTCTCAGATGGACAATAATTACACACAACCATGTCTCTGATCGACACTAATTACACACAACCTTGTCTCAGATGGACACTAATTACACACAACCATGGCTCTGATCGACACTAATTACACACAACCTTGTATCAGATGGACACTGATTACACACAACAATGGCTCAGATATGGACACTAATTACACACAACCTTGTCTCAGATGGACACTGATTACACACAACAATGGCTCAGATATGGACACTAATTACACACAACCATGTCTCTGATCGACACTAATTACACACAACCTTGTCTCAGATGGACACTAATTACACACAACCATGTCTCTGATCGACACTAATTACACACAACCTTGGCTCAGATGGACACTAATTACACACAACCATGGCTCTGATCGACACTAATTACACACAACCTTGTATCAGATGGACACTAATTTCAACGCCGATATAAGACCGAACGTGCGTTCGGGGCAATAGATTATTGTCCTCCTTTAAAACATTTTACCCATATTGAATATTTATATATGCACAGCAATGAATGTTATTATCAGTTCGGATGACCGACAATAGGCATTTGACAGGTAAACGTTTGTTAGACAAATAATCCCCCCAAACATATCAAACTCCAGATAATAAGATCAAACTCCAGAGAATAAGTATCGATTCCTTACTTACAAACAATACAGAATCTGACAACCTATAACCCTATATCCCTCTCCACCATCCTCATGACGTTGAAATGTAGCACGCATGTATGATGTATCTTCAGATTTCGACGATGACGACATTCCCCACTTTGAAGCGTACCTTGCCTTTGTAAGTACCGTGGTGTTTAGTCTGCTACCCATCATTAAGATCGTAAGAAATTATATATTGATATGCTGAACAATTGCAAAATTTGTACTTTTATCTTCAACGATCATGACAAAAGTTACATTATTCTGTTTCAGCACCTGCACGGCACAATAACCGCAGCTGGCGTGAGTATATGTGCACCAACCTAAGTTTTTGTGGTTATAATTAGTCATTAAGGAAGACAAATAATACAGTATGTTATACCAAAGAATAATATCTAACCGTTATAACTGTGGTATATTTTAGTTATGATATAGTTTATATTTATATACTTTTATTGCATATTCTTTTGTTTTTTTTGGTACAATCGAAATAGTAGAATTGTTAAAATAGCGTCCTACTGCTGGATGTTGATCATGATCATGTTCGTACCAACTATATTATAGTGTGTATTAAGGGGAGACGGGTGGGCATGTCCGTTGTGTAAAGACTGTTCAAATTGTGTACTCATCTGCCAGTTTATTTGGTTTTACAGACATTTGTTTTAACTTTGGATTCTAATATGAAGCTGTCCTACCAAGATATAACTAAACTACTGTTCAAACCAAACTTAACAACACACTTGGGGCACCCCACCCCATCATATACGTGCTGGGGCTGCCAATTGGCCCGGGTCTAGGCCGTCTATAAACTTAACTTATTCGATCAATTATTCTTCACGTAAAACCACGATGTTTCCTATCTTTGATCAGAAGCGACAGAGTGGCTCAGACCTGTTCAGTTTCCTGAGGGACCTTCACCTTATGCACAAGATCGAGGACGATCTCTCCCATTCTGACATGCGAGTGTTCTTGGAGATCATGTTCGCCGCTGAACACGACACTCTCACCCAATACATTGACAAGAAGGGCTACGGCCCCGTCCTGGACCTCATGTCACGTAGGTATTTGATGTACAACTGCTGTATACAGTGAGTAGGGATATCCAATATCTACCCAATCTCGTCATGGTCTTAGAGGACCGCCGCCGTGGTCTAGTGGTAGAGCGTCCGCCCGGAGAGCGGAAGGTCCGGGGTTCGATCCCCGGCCGCGTCATACCAAAAGACGTTAAAGGATGATACTTGTTGTTGCAATGTCTGGCGCTCGACATTAAGGGGCTAAACAAGGACTGGTTGACTCGGAGTCAGTATACAGTGTCTGAGTGGGGTATTCATGTTAAACTGCGGCATGGTATCTCAGTGGGCTAGTACTATACATCGGCATCAGTCCGGACTAGTACAAGCAGCCACACACACACACACACACACACACACACATACACGTTGCTATATAGCTATATATTGCTATGCAATAATCTTCGACGCGACGTTAAACCCAATTTCACCTCACCTCATGGTCTTATAGAATGAGATTTCGAGAATTGCCACCTCTGCAACTAAGTAGGATCTGTATTGAAGATGAGAACAAGGGGACATCTCCCTACTCTTCTTATGTCACATTGACACCAGTAGAACACTATTTATTCGGCTTGCTCCATTTACTCTTTCTAAACTCTGTCCCGAACTCCCCCATTCACACTTCAGTATAACGCTACCCGGAAACTCTTGCAGTTGCTCTTCAATATAGCTATACAAAACCTCCTTCCGTTGCTCATCAATATAACGCTACCGGGAACCTTTTCCAGTTGCTCTTTCAGTATAACGCAGTCCGACACCTCCATCTGTTGCTCTTCAGTATAAGGCTGTGTGGCACCTCTTCCAATTGCTCCTCAGTATTCCGTTGCCCGTAACGTCCTTCCGCTGCTCCTCATTATAACGCTGCCGGAATCTCCTGAATCTCCTGAATTTGGCTTTGAAGGGGACTCACGTCATTGTTCATATATATTAAACTTTTGTTGCAGAAATTGATAGCGATGAATCCCATGGCTTTGATCTGCTGATCATGAGGGTAAGGACACACATACATATTGTTTAAACACATTTATTGGATATTATATTAAAAAGGATTATATAGGACTTCCTCTATTTTACAACAGCACAGCAGGTTTTGGCCGTTTCACTATACATACCACATGACGATGGAATAAAACAAACTTTTTTTGATATTACACAAAGTCATTATTAGTACTATTTACCTAGGTTCATTTATAAATCAGGATGGCACGTTCCCCACTTTAGACAGGACAATATAGCAGGACAGGAATTTCGTCTTCAACACTTTTTGTACAGTCAAACATGTTCTTTCTTCCATTGGGAGGCTGCTGTATCGTCCTGTCTCCAAGTGTATTGGAGCAGTGCCACACCCGAATTAGCCAGTGGGCTTCTGTGGGGTCGGGGGTTAAGACGTTTCAGGCAAACATCTTCTAGGTTTTTTTTAATGAATTTTGAAATTCCAATTTCTTTTCCTGTTTATGGTCTTGTTTATGTTTATATTTATTTCCACGAAGAAGTAGTTTGTGTGAGAACTAACAAGCACACGATACAGTTATCCTAACATTCTTACATCAACAGCTAGTTCAACGGTCACATCTTCCCAGATGCCCCTCTCCTTCAACAAATACTGTTAACTCCGCGATGGCGTTTCCTGTCAAAATAAAAATCAGCCAGATTATTTTTCTTGCAGACAGGAACACATTGCTTTCATGTTACGTGAAACTTGAATAATCTGAATACGATATCACACATTGTGCAAAGTAACCATAGACCAGGCACAAAGGTAAACCCATCACGAACGTACTTAAAGAAAGCTTTTGCAGTTCATTTTGTGTATTTCATTCGACTCCAAGTAGGGAGAAACGGGAACATATGAATCAGAAGAGAAAGAAGATTGGTGTTGATGGAATTGCTAATTTGCCAGAGTCTGATTCCCTAATAATCGTTTATCTTTGCCGTATTTCAGCATCTGGAACATGAGGCTGCGATGTCACAAATGAAATCTACTGTCGGCACCAACGTTGTCAGCACAGTCATCGTCTGAACAAGTCCACTACATGGATAGTTCGCCTGCATCCTACATACTACTGGTAATAATATTAAGGTCATATTATGAACAGATGCTTGGTATGACATTTTGTACTAGCCAATCGGTTGTGACGTCATGAACAATATATTATCTTCAATTGCTTGCGATTGTGCGTTCATCAGCCAATCGGCTTGAATCGACAATCATAATGTTCTGTGAGAATGCAGAAAATACTTTCACCTATAGCCGTGCATATATCCATGAAAATGGCATTGTATAATCAGATTAGATTAGATCTGAGATGTATATGAGAGATGAAATTATAATCAGAATGAGGAATAAATTATGTTGTGCTTGGATGATGTTGTTAGGGATTTGAAAGTATAAAATGCCTCTAGTAAATGTTTATTCAAATTTGTAATTCGATATAACTGTTTTCTTTGCAGATGTACCATTGGCAGTTGTGAATAAAATGAGTATAAAGATTGGTTTTACTTTTGTCAGTGTGTTCATCGGATGTCACTTGTGTCAGATATATCATTATAGTGGGGCGGTTAAGGCTGGATTTTAGTCAAAATTGTGCACTTTGGGTTCAAAGCACCAAACTTGGCACACTCATACATTGAAACATTCCGAACATTTCTGGATATGGATCCACCTCAGCAGCGCCACCTTGTGGTAGAAAATCCAAGATGGCTAAATCTTTTATGACGTCAATTTATATTCAATATATCATCATTATTTTGTCAATTTAAGTCATTTATATAAATTTAATTGCGTCAATGTTGTATACAATTCAAATCTAATATGCAGCGCCCACTGGTGGCGAAGATAATCCAAGATGGCCGCCCAAATGACTTAATCTTCAAAAAATGTTAAATGTTTGTCCACAATATCAGTATCATTTGCTAATTGCAATCATTTTAATCAAATCTGGCTTTAAAACAATTCCAAGTAATGCTTTACTGAATATATAAGCTTTTGGTACTAAAATTCATTCATTTGAAGCAAGATCCGTATTCAGTAAGGCAGATCCGGGGAATATATTGGTACTGCATGAATTTGATTAAAATTCTGTAACTGAACTTGGAATGTGATAAAGATATTGGACCAGCACTGAAACATGCCTTTTTGATTCTGAATCATTAAGGCTAACTAAACGAGCAACACTTATCCACAGACGTGATTTAAGGTTGAAACAAACTTTTAGAGGAACATTTCCTTCTGACTGCCATAAACAGTATGTACCTGACTCTTTGAAAGCTCTAGTCAGTATGAAATAAAAATCTTCGAGCATTAAAAACTACAGTAAACTACGGTTATAACGAACTTAAAGGGACCACTAATTTTAGTTCGTTGTAACCGTAGTTCGTTATAAACATATATACACCATATATACAGCAAATGGCTTGGACCATAAAAAACAGTTCCGCCAGTTCGTTATAAGCGTGTTCGTTATAAACGTAGTTTACTGTATCTCAGAACATCTTGTCTTCAAAGCGTGAAATCTCGGTGCACCAGCTCATCAATACAAAGACACCATTGAGACCGAGAAATACAAATCCCAGGTTACTTGGTATTAAAACAAGAAAACGTGATCTTGTTGACCCATTTCAAAATATGGTGTATTTGAACAGATATAGCACAGTTTGCGGTGTTTATGAAGACGAAGATGTGGTATACCCACCAACATTCTCAAAAGATAACATCTATCATAATCCCTGCTCTACAACAGCAACATATCCACTTAATGGTACCAACATTTCACTATTGCAGCAGCGTTCAACATCTGAAGAGGAAGGAACACCACATGCTGTTCTTTTGGCTGAAACCACACAAACCAGGGAAACCATTTCCAAACAGCCCGCAGTATATACTAATGTACCCCCATCCTGTTGTTGCAAGAAGGGGGCACGGGTGGCCCAGTCGTCTAAGGCGCCGCGATTCACTGTGCAGAGTTGCGTCCCTTGGGCACGCAAGAACCCTATGATTGTGGGTTCGAATCCCGGTTCGCCCTAATTATGTCAGCACCATACCCGTGCTCGTGGGTTTCACCGAAGTGGTAAACGTCTGAGACCTGCATCACTTCGGGCTTTCCTCCCACATCAAGCTGACACGCTGTGATATAACTGGAATACTGTTAAAAGCGGCGTTAAACCCAACTCACTCATTGTTGTTGCAAAATGGGTAATTATGTGCCTCAAATAAAATGACCTTTCACCCAGGATGTAGATAGTGTTAACACAATGCCTGACCATGAGTAAAACTGGTCATATCTCAGGAAGTACTAGGAAAACAAAACAAACATAGCCTCCAAAAACAATTGCCCATATGCCAATGTTCTAGAATGTGCACACTCTGTTTCCATGATACAGTATTCAATTAATGTGGTAAAAAAGGGTATTGAGCATTTGAATCCTGGTTAGATGCATGTGCTTGGTTTGGATGAACCACCATACACAACTGCTAAAACAATACAGTGGAACTGTCCTGAATTATATGTTGAACTTCCTTATCATGTTTGGTAGATTTGCATTTAGAAATAGTTGCTTTCAGGATTCTCAGAAACTGTCCCGGAGGAAGTAGATGGAAAACTGCAATCTGAGCTGCTGGAATTGCCTCAGAAAGATTTGCTGATTCCTTCATCATGTGTACCCATCTTACTACAACATCAGACATATGTGCGATATAAGAGAAACAGAAGCGAACACAGACGATCCTTTCAGAAACTGGTGTGCACTGAAGTGAGCTGCTCAGCCCCTTTTTCACAACTGGCCCCTTGTTCTTGAACAAGAACTTTGCATATTGTGTCTGGTGGGTGCAGTTCAAAAAGCAGATTTCCCAAAGTTTGCAGCATCACTTGTCATATTAATGGCTTGCATTTCACAGATATGTCCCTCTTACAGTAGAGCCCGAGCACCGCTGTACCTCGAAAATTGTTCCGGTGGATGTTCTCTTGTGTGGCACAAGGTCAGACACATAAACAATTCAATAGCCGTATGAAAGGAGATGGAGGTGCAGTTGGATTGACTGAAACAGTCGAGAGTTTTCTTCTAGCGGCCCACGGAATTCAAAGACATTGTCACTATTTCATGCCTACACCGGTTCATATGCTTGGGATACGTGTCAAGTATTTCCTGAAGTCACCTATGCTTTCCCACCATCAGCAGTTTGTCGTTCTCACTGGTTTATTGGGAAGGTCAATGGCAGGCAAAATCTCTGTTCATAAATATCTCAGACAATTGACATTTCAACCCAAATAGGCAGCTCTGAGACAGCACCAATGCATATTTGGGGACAGGTGCTTGACAAACGTCCCACACTATAGAATCTTGTAGTCAGGGGTCGGGAGTTGACATGCAGTAATACATAGATACCCAAGTGGACAGCACTTGGTCAGGCACAAAGAAGTTTTATAAACTAACACTACACCTGTAAGAAGTCTTGCAAATCTTTGTAAACTTTACACTGCCTTTCTTGAGTACAGTGCTATGTGATACTTTGAAGGAAAGTGTTCACTGTAAGTGAATTATAGAACCGTAAACACATACACTGAACCGATATTCCTGGCCCTACTTAAGTAGGAAGTAAGTTAATGCCATAGGTTCATGACAATAATGTCAATAATACTTTTACATACATTCTATGATGTGTTGAGATAGATATAGATTGATATCATTAGAGATTTCAGCCATGCTGGCGGTCATCTTGGATTTTCTACCTCTAGGGGGCGCTGCAAACTATATTTGAATTATATACAGCTCTGGTACAATTCATTCCGCATGCATTACTATAGATATATGTATAAATGGATCAGATAAGTATGATATATTGAGTATATATTGAAACCATTAGAGAGTTCAGCCATGTTGGCGGCCATCTTGGATTTTCTACCACGAGGGGGCTCTGCTGAGGTGGGATCCACATCCAAAAGTTTTCGGAATGGTTAAATGTATAAGTGTGCAAAGTTTGGTGCTTTTTAAACTTAACCGCCCCACTATTACACAGTACATGGGCGATATCTTAAGGTATAAACTCGATATCACCAATCAAGGGAACAGGCGACGGTACCGTCGAAACAATTGAAATGCAAGTTATGAAACACAAATTATGAAACACACGTGGTGTCTTTTTGGTCGTTTGAAATGACATATGTTCATCCATCATTGAATGGGTATTGCAACAGGGCCTAAATGTAGATTGATTGTGTCGCATGAGTGACACGTGGTCCAGTATTCAGGGCACAGGTCAGAAATCAGGCGACTTAAGCAACGCTTGCGAGTTGGTGGAGGGCAGATAGTTGACCGGGCGCAAGCTCCTGAGAGTTTCCAGAGCTTCGGTACTGCCCCACACATATTACATATGGTATCTTCGTAGGCAATTGACGTTTTTCAAAATATGCTTCTCTTCACCCAGCAGAAAATGGGTACTCGGTAGGATGAGATGTGCGCCAGGATGAGAAATATCACATTCATTAGTATTGTTACAAAACAATACCAATGAATGTTTGCTTCAAGTTGAATTATTGTGACACACTCAATATGTACACCACAACAGTCTTCATTCAGAAAGTGTGCTTCTAGCAGAGATTTCTTGCGGCTATGGAAAGAGTTGTGTCGCCTTTATTTCAAGATCATTCATAAACATTGAAAGCAGTAGTGGTGATATTTCTCACCCTGACGCACACCAGTCTCATGTGAGAAATAAAGCATGGGATTGTAAACAATGCTTTTTATTGTTTGATAAATACAATTGATTTGATTTTTAAAGTCTAGCTGTTATTGCTTTCCATTGTTCAATTATAATATACTCTGATTCGAGAAATCTGCCCCCTTTTAGTGTAAAACTAAATGTCCTTTCAGAATAGTAACGAGTGATTGAGGTCACATGTTAATTCAAAATGAATACACACAGATCATTGCATGCATACCTACTTACTGTCTACAAATGATAATGCATGTCGACAATCATTCAATACCCATTCAGGTAAGGAGGTCACATGAACATCTTAAAGCGTCAGACCTGTATGCCCAACTGAACAGGGGGAACTGTATGCCAAACGGAACAGGAGTAGAATACTGTAGAAATTTAAGGGTTTGATATGAGCCCAACGGGGAGTGACATGAGCCTCGGCGGCAAGAACTCTAGAGTAGTTTGGACTTAGGCTTTAATCACTCACTCTGGAGTGAATTTTTAAGGGATTGATTTGAGCTTGCTGCACTGTCCCTGTGCGACGAGAGAGAGTGCTCATTTGTGCGACACTGTGGTTAATTTTATCATGTTTGAAAGTTGTTGTGATCAAGTGCTTGTGCAGTGACAACATCTGATAATGTTCCAATTGGCCATTGCTTTTATATTCATTGATATGTAGGCTATCAATAGATAGCTGTATTCACACGTACGTTTATCCGAGAAAGGGCGTGTTAATGAAATTAGATACCTGAATGTAATGGTATTGTGAACAATCAGAATCAATCTTCAGTGCCATGGTAGAATGGTAGAATGTGTTCTAAGATGTCATTTGCAGCAAACAATTCAAGCTGCCTATGATGCACGAGAAGGTTAACCTCACATCATTACCATCTCATCCCGTCCAGTACCCATTCGCTGCTGGGTGAAGAGAGGCATATTTCGAAAAACGTCCATTGCCTACGAAGACACCATATGTAACACGTGTGGTGAAAGGATATAAGCTCTGGAAACTCTCAGAAGCTTGCGCCCAGTTCATCCATCAACCTTCTCACCACCATCTCTCAAGAGTTCTTTAAGTCGCCTGATTTCTGACCTGTGCCCTGAATACTGGACCACGTGTCACTCATGCGACAAAACCCATCTACATTTAGGCCCTGTTGCAATACCCATTCAATGATGGATGAACAGATGTCATTTCAAACGACCAAAAAGACACCACGTGTGTTTCATAATTTGTGTTTCGACGGTACCGTCGCCTGTTCACTTGATTGGAGATATCGTGTTTATACCTTAAGATATCGCCCATGTACTGTGTAATGAGACAGATTCAGGATCTCCGACACAAGTGACATCTGATGAACACAATGACCAGAGTAAAACCAATCTTTATACACATTTTATTCACAACTGCCAATGGTATATCTGCAAAGAAAAGATTTATATCGAATTAAACATTTGAATAAATATTCATTAGTGGCGTTTTATACTTTTAAATTCCATAACACCATCATACAAGCACAATATAATTTCTTCCACATTCTGATTATAATTTCATTTCCCGTATTTATCTAACATCTAATCTAATCTAATGACATAATACCATTATAATGGATGTAGGCACGGCTGTAGGTAAAATTATTTTTAGTATTCTGACTGAGCATTACACCGTAGAAAATGTGTTTAGATCCTAAACACAAACTTAAACATGTTCCTTGTCCCATAATTTTGATATGTTTAGGTCTTTACGTGTGTAGGATTGAGTTAAACAGCGAAACGTGTATAGGGTCTAAATGTGTATACCTCCCTTGAAATTCATTGTAGGTAATTAAAAGAGGTGATCTCTCCATGTTTTTATTAACGTTTAATGGGGATACAGAGGTACATTTGTATATCAGCATTGTACCAAGTTCTGTGGACGCCCTGGTGGTATATGTGTTATGCAAGTGTCTGTAAACCTGATCTGCACTTCTAATTTCAATATGAATGTATAATAATATACATCTTATCTATATTTGTTTTATTGCCTAATAATATGATCTTTATTGAAACAGGTTTAAAATTCGAAACATGTTTTCACTTTGAAATTCGAAATATGTTTCAAGTCTAAAAATGTAGGTGGTGTTTAGCCTGAGGCGGTAGCTCATTTCATGTATGTAGACCTAAATACGTTTACGTAGAACACACCACATGTGTATTCCGTGTAGGATTTAAACACATTCCTAATCATGTTAAGATCTTGACATGTCTGTTGTCCGTTTTTATGTTCTAAACACAGTTTTTACAGTGTATAATTGCAGATTCATGATGATTGGCTAGTTCGTCCAAAGTGTTCTCATCGTCACGATATGGCTTAAAAAATTGCCGATGTGACGTTAAATATTAAATATCAACTCACTCACTCCAAATTGTTCTATGGTCTTCATTGTTAGTGAGGAGACCCCTAGCAAAGTGACGTCACATGAATGCAAGCAACCGATGATGATGTCATATTGATCATGACATCACAACCGATTTTATGCGCCGTCGTTCTAATAATAAACCAACTACGTTGTTCAGCGCCAATATTCCAGCTATATGACGGAGGTAAATGACGGAGGCCAGACAATCCAGTGATTGATATCATGAGCATCAATTCACGCAAATGGGATACGATGACATGCATGAACCAAGTCAGAGAGCCTGACCACCCGATCCCGTTAGTCCTATCCTACCCCGGATCTTCAGGGGTCAACTACGCTTGAGATGAGGAAAGCCATTATTCACATGTTTTCATTAAAAAAAAGACTATGGGTAGTGCAGGAAGTAACCCACTTGCCAGGAGTTATTTACTGTGCCCCGTGAATTAATACTGAAAAGGCTCCTTACATACTTAACATTCGTCACCACTCGCCCCTTTCCGTAACCTGCAAGAAGACTCGTCCTCCTATCGATGAATATTATGTGCGAAAATACGACAAACCAATCAGAATGCGCATATGATTTCAAGTTCTTCGTCAAAGAATCCCTCAGAAATAATTTTTGAATTTACATATGTCTTGCATCTAAAAATATACCAAAGACACAGTTAAATGTGTTCAATCATACTGTATAATTCCGCACGCCCCGGTGAGCTTTAAATTGCATCTGAAATAATGTGGGAAATCTGGGGAAAATATGTGAACCATGTGTGACAGTTGTTTTAGGTATGCCCGTTTGCGCTAAGACGGAACCCGGTCGCAAAAATGGCCACAAGAGGGGCAGGAGCCGCTATTCGGCTTGTCCCGGAATAACACGAGTTGGTCACGAATGACATACTTAATTCACTCGGGACAGAAAATTCGTAATTCCTCCTAACTTGTAAGTTGTTTCCTAGATATACAGTGTGCCACTCAACGCGCCATACATTTGAACGAGCCAGAAACTTACGATCATGGGTTCAAACCCCATATTCGCAGTGATTGTCTTTCTATGTGTATCACTACCATAGCCGTGCTCGAGTGTTTCACTCAGTTGTTAACTACGAAAAACTGCATCTCTTGGCCGATTGCCGTCACACAACTGAGATAATATTCAGAGCAGCATTAAACCATCCTCGCTCACTCCATTGTCGAATAATATTGGTTTTCCTTGAAGGTTCACACGAAATGTCATACAAAAGATGTTTTTTTTAATGTGACCGTGCTCATATTATTATTACCAGCAATATGCAGGTGATCTTTCCATCATCGGTTTTATTGTTTCTGACCCATAGCAACTTGACGTCACATGAACGCACTGTCGCAAGCAATAGAAGATAATATATTGTTCATGACGTCACAACCGATTGACTAGTACAAAATCTCATACCAAGCATCTGTTCTCATAATATGACCTTAATATTATTACCAGTAGTATGTAGGATGCAGGAGATCTTTCCATCAGCGGGACTGTTCAAACCACAACTGGAGCAGCAGTGCTGGCCATTGGGGCAGCCGTGCTGGCCATAACTGGAGCAGGTGTGCTGACCATTGGAGCAACCGTGCTGTCCATAACTGGAGCAGGTGTGCTGACAACGATGGCGCCGACAGTAGTTTTCATTTGTGACATCGCAGCCTCATGTTCCAGATGCTGAAATATGGGAAAGGATACAAAGGATTTAGGGGCTGGCAGTCCCACCCAAATCCACTTTCTTTCTATTCTAATTCATATGTTTCTATTCTTCCAAAGCGTTAGAGTCATATGGAATACACACAAAATGATCTGTAAAAGCTTTCTTTAAGCAGGCTCGTCTAAGGTTCCTTTGCACAATGATTCTGTATTCAAATTAAGACAATAAAGATAAGAAACTGGAATTTCAAATTTCATAAAAAAACTGTTTTAATATATTTTGCATTGTGTCAGAGGTGAAGGTTTTACAGTTTAGCTGTGTGTATAAACGAGTGGAATATGATTATTACACGCGATGAGGACAGTAATGTCACATTGTATTCTAATTATAGAACTGTATTTGGCGCCCACGATTATGACACACGCCCTATCCCCCGATCCCACAGAGGCGCACTGGCAAATTCACTGCTCCAATGTGGCACTGCTGCAATACGCTTACAGACAAGACGTTAAAGCAACCTCCCAATTTAAGAACATGTTTGAACTGTACAGAGACTCAGTATCCTATAATTCCGTATCGAGTTACCAGCTTGTTTCACATATTCTGTTTACCATTTTTATTGTTATATTTTGGATGTGACAACCTGTCTGTGTGTCCTTACCCTCATGAGCAGCTTATCAAAGTTGCGAGTTTGATCTTTATCAATTTCTGAAACAAAAAAATTGAAAATAATTAATCAATTGACAAAGACATCATTCCTCTTCAAAGTCACATTCAGGAGGTTCCGGGTAGCGTTACACTGAAGAGCAATTAGTAAAAGGTTTGGGATAGCGCTCTACTAAAGAGCAATGGGAAGAGGTTTGGGATAGCGCTATACTAAAGAGCAATGGGAAGAGGTTTGGGATAGCGCTATACAAAAGAGCAATGGGAAGAGGTTTGGGGAAGCGTTACACTTAAGAGCAATGGGAAGAGGTTTGGGATAGCGCTATACTAAAGAGCAATGGGTAGAGGTTTGGGATAGTGGTATACTAAAGAGCAATGGGAAGAGGTTTGGGATAGCGCTATACTAAAGAGCAATGGGAAGAGGTTTGGGATAGCGCTATACTAAGAGCAATGGGAAGAGGTTTGAGATAGCGGTATACTAAAGAGCAATGGGAAGAGGTTGGTATAGCGCTATACTAAAGAGCAATGGCAAGAGGTCCCGGATACTGAAGAGTTTGTTTGCTCTTTAACGCCACACTCGGCAGTATTCCAGCTATATGACTGCACTTTACACTGACGAGTAAAGGGTGGAAGCCGTGTCATTGTGTATAGCGCTATACTGAAGAGTAACTGCAATAGTTTCCGGGTACCGTTATACTGAAGGATAGAGGAAGGAAGTTCCGGACAGAGTAAAGAGAGCAAGCCGAATCATAGTGTTCTACTGGTGTCAATGTGACATAACAAGAGTAGGGAGATGCGCGTTAGTTCTCTTCTTAAACACAGAGGCTTTTAATTTGATGAGGTGGCAATTCTAAATCTCATTATAAGACCATGGCTAGATTAGTAGATATTGGGTATTCCAAACAGCTGTATACATTAGTTGTGCATCATATACCTACGTGACATGAGGTCCAGGACGGGGCCGTAGCCCTTATTGTCAATGTATTGGGTGAGCGTGTCGTGTTCAGCGGCGTACATGATCTCCAGGAAGACCCGCATATCTGAATGGGAGAGATGTTCCTCCACCTTGTGCATAAGGTGAAGATCCCTAAGGAAGCTGAACAGGTCTGAGCCACTCTGTCGCTTCTGATTAACGAAAGAAAACATCTATACTTTTTTGTCCTTTTTTAAATCTAAAACAATATATGAGTGAATTAGTTCAGTTTAAAGGCAAACTAGCCTCAAGATAATTGCCAGGCCAAGCATTTATGTGACTGCTTCCCCCCTCCCCTCCGCGCCCCCAGTGAGTGAGTGAGGTTGGTTTGAACAGTATTTCAGTAATGTCTCAGTTATGTTACATATACTTCTTTGGTATGAAAAACTTATTTTTGTCATTTAATGACTTATTATAACCACTAAAACTTAGGTTTGTGCCCATATACTCACGACAGGTGCGGTTGTTGTTGTGCCCTGCAGGTGCTGAAAGAGATTAGTATTGACAATATCATTGCAGATATAAATACAAATTATTTCAATGTCTTACGATCTTAATGATAGGCAGCAAAACAAGCACAACGGTACTTACAGCGGCTAGGTAACCTTCAAAGTGGGGAATGTCGTCCTTGTCCAGATCTGAGGACATATCAAACATACGGGCTACATTTCAACTTCAGCAAGATATATATCAGCGGATATCGAGCTATTATAACATTTCGAAGACATATTTTATGGATGATATATAGGTTGTTATGAAAAGTGTCAAAGAACAACGATGGAGGTAGCTGAACACAGGTAAGATGGTCATTATACAAATGTGAGACACTGCCGAAAACCATAGACTATTTTAAGAACGCGTGTTCACTATAGTTTTTGGCAAGCGAAATGTGTCGGCAGATAATGAAGGCTAATTATTCTCTGGTATTGACGTTAGATATTTTGGGAACAATTTTTCGGAATGATTTAATCAGTTTTCTAGGACTGCCGATTGTTCCTACATGAAAGAGCATATACATGGACATAAATGTAGACATACGATCAATGAGGCCAATAATCTTGTCGAAGGTCTGGCTATTGATGAAGGTTGTGAGGGCGGCACTTCCCTGTTCGGCAGCCTGGATGAGTTGACTGTAGAGAAGCTGATTTTCTGGCGTCATGTGAGCGAACTCGTGGCTCTTCTGCACATCCTTCAGCCAGCCGGCGAATTTAGAAGGGTCTTTGTAGTCGTGGTGGTCGTTGGCAATGACCGCAGTCATTGCTACCAAAGTAACAATCAGGAGATTCATCATACTGAAGGAGGAAAAGAGTTTCCTGTATCGCATGTGAAGTCAGTATTTGGTATTAAAAGGAATGGCTTCAAAGTGGTTAAACTGTGAGACAGGCAGGTTCGAATCCCACGTTGGTGAACTCCATCATTGCCTTGATGTGACTGGAACATAACTCAAACCGAAATCAAAGTCAGACAGATCTAAATTGTTGACGAATGTTGTCATACAGTACGTGTTTACGTGTTTAGTTTGGGCAATGGTTGTCCTGGCGATTATTGTTTGAAAGTGTTTCGCATCCTGCAGTTGCTCACACTGGCAATGACAAGAAATCGAAAATCCTTTCGCATCACACTATCCCAGAGAGGAGAGAGGTGCATAAATCGTGCCTCATTTACCTAGTTATTCTGGCCAAGAAGCTTCATGTATATCGATATATTTGATGACCGGCTACAGTTCAATAATGATCAAATCGCCATTTCTCTTCCGCTGATTTACCCACCTGAACTAGAAATTAAAGAGACAAGTGACACCACCTGATCTGTTTCATCTTTCAATCTCTGCACGAATGTATGATAAGAAGGATGACTTCATCTTTCCAAAAGTCATCTTTCCTTAATGTCGAGCCTTTTCCAGCAGCTACAGGCCTAGGTGGCAGCGTTTTACCCCGTAGGTGTGGTAGATTGAGGTACAATCGTTTCTACGAAGATTTCAAATAGCGTCACACGACGCTTGCTCAAACGCCTTTTGATCAGGGACATAACATTCAAGGCCTCAGAGAAAGATTTCAAAATGCTTAATGCTAGACTTATGGGGAAAATATCCAAATGCCAAAGATGATGTCTGATGCAGGTTTTTGTGACTGGTGCCTACGGTGGAATGGGGCACGCTCACCTTTTCTTATATGTAAATGGTTTTTTCAACACTGACTGAAACAAAATGGACCAAAAAAAACCCCAAAAACAAACAATATCACATCACACAATTCTAGAGAAAAGAGGGATAATACAAAGGTATCTTCAGAGCTTAGGCTACTTCAAACATCATCTGGCTTGTCACAATGTACTGCAGGAATGAAACTCGTACACAATATCCAATTCCTGACAGTGTTAGTTCAAACAAACTAGATTACGAACATCCAAATAATACAGATATATTGATAGTGAATCTTCAGTAACCCCGATATATATTTTTTTCGACTTAATGTACACTACATACATACACTGAATAGTCTGCTTTTTTTAGGTAAGGAGCGTGAGAAAACAAACAGTACCTGGCGTGTATCACTGCTGGGGACAAGTCTTGAACTTTCGTGACTTCAGCCTTCTTATACCCTGATAGGAAACAGGATAGGTTTCTGGAAGGTCACCTGGTCAAACAACCCTGCTTCGTATTCTTGATACAAGGCACGTTTTTTGTTTTGATTTTATGTTTGAGCCTCTGCTAATGTGATGGTGGTTTAATGCGTTGCTTTATCGAGCACTGATAGCTGTCGTATGAGTTTTAATTTGGACTGTCATGACATGACGACGCACAATTAGTTAGCTTGCAGCCCCAGGTTTCCTCTTGAGGACGTCATGGGCAACTGAGGTGTGCAGTGGGAGGGGTTACAGCTATGTCACGGTGGCCTGTAAATAATCAACAAGACCCTCACATTGACAGCATGAGCAACGTTTCCGCCTCTACGTACAATGACATGCAGGCATTGCAACCACCTAATCGACATTTTAGTCGCCATTTAAGCTGAAATGGGTAACGTCGAAAATTCACCCATCAGTTTTAACATTTTTATTCTCATCAATAATTATCCGTAACCATGAAATATCTCCAACAGTTTATGAAACACACCAGATTCTGTTTTGTTGCAAGGGCAACGTCAGACAGTCATATCATCGTACGGCACAGTATACGTGGTTACTTGGATGCATTCCAAGATGGAGTGCACCAAGGAGATCAATGTTGTCTGAGGTCATTGACGCATCAGTGACAAGAAAGATGTCCGATGCAATTCCCTATTTTAACTTGTGACATATGTTCACGTGTTTTTTCAAATGAACACTTGACATGCCTTTGCATGTGTTTGTGATGTGTGACACTAGAGGGACACGATACATGGTATCATCGCTATTTGATAGTGATTCATAAACAAATGTTCATTGATATAGTAGGAATCTTCCAATGTACGTTCCTTTAGGCAGAGATTTATTTTGATGATGGAAATGTTTTTTGTCGCTTTCAATTATCCCACTCTAACTATTGCCCGAATGTTCTTTGTCTTGAATTTCTCCATATTAAATTCAAAATTTTGTCAGACATCATCTTAGTATGCGAGCTAGTCCAGTGAACGGCGTCACATCATCATGCGAGCTCGAAAGGCGACAGTTTGAGTTTTTTTCCAAAACACTAGTCTCGGTCTAGAGACCGCACCGCTTCCCTCTCTCTTTATTGTCCGGCTTCTGTCACCAGTTGTCACCGGCGGTCATCGATGTCCAGTGACTTTACATTCGTTGTTAGAGAATTGGTGATCCGTCCTATTCCCTAGCGGTTTAATTGCATACCTTTCTCATGGATGATTTTATATGTTTTTATGTTTGATTCATGCATGGAAAAGTTTTAGTAAGTTTGATTTTGAGGCTGTAGCGGGATCATATAGTAATTGTAGGTTTTCTCATCTATTTATGGTCATTTTTGCCACCTCAATAATTGTAAATCTTTAGTGGTATCGTAGGATAGCTGCTGTTCAGCGCTTTAGTTTGGTACCCACTTCTTCCGTATTGGTGTAGTTGCTCTCAGGTTGTTCTCTCCGAGGTCCGCGCACACGTATATAACCCTTGGCGAAATCATCTGTCTTTACCGTCAGGGATTGGTTGGTCATTCGAATCGCAGGTTTCCTTCGTAGGTAATAATGGGACACATTTAAATGACTTACTTCTGTTGTATTAAATTGAGCTAAATTTATGAGCTTGAGTTTTTCTCTCTGATAATTCGTGTTTTACCAACTTTCCGGCGATTGTCTAGTTTAGATCAAGTACCTATTTACGATTGGGAGTCAAGTTACTCTTTTACTCAAGTACCCTTCTTAATGATGGTGAGTCTAGACACTCATTAGGTCAAGTACCTTGTATTTTAGGGCAGGATTTCCTTTGCCAGTCAAAGTGACTGAGTCTTCACTCTATTGTTGATATTCAGGCGTTTTGGTCTTTTACATTGTCCAAGAGTCTTTTAGAGATACGTCCTTTGTGTTATTTCTCCGTATTTAACTCAACCGAGGTTATTTACTCATCAGAGTGTTGAGTTAATTAACTCTCAGGTGTTATTTGGTCGCAGCCTACTTAATTGAGTCTATGGATCTTGTGAATTATCGTCAGTGTTGATTTAGCTACTTGTTTTTGTATTACTGTCAAACAGTTGCTTAGCTAATTGAAGGTCACACACCCTGTCACACAGCAAAACAAGACTCCAGTGTTTGGGGACGTACCTCTAGGCTAGTGAGGCTAGTATTGATGTGTATAAATTCCGTTGTTCTAAACAGATCTGATTGGCGAAAAGATAAGTCGGTTAAATATTTAAAGAGAAAACATTACTGTGTAAAAGTATAATTGACGGTCGACTTTCTCTCTCTCTCTCTCTCTCTCTCTCTCTCTCTCTCTCTCTCTCTCTCTCTCTCCCTCCCTCCCTCCCTCCCCCTCTCTCTCTCTCTCTCTCTCTCTCTCTCTCTCTCTCTCTCTCTCTCTCTCTTGATACACTCACTGATCACCGATATAGTAAAATGGTATAGCCATTTACAGTTAACATAGACCAGCATTGTGGCATACTCTCGATTTGTTCCTAAAAGGTGCACGCTAAGAGTTGCAAGCTCCGGTCTTTGAGGAGAGTGTGAGATACATTCCACAGAGAGACCGTCTTGTTTGCATTGCTGAGAGTCGCCAGATGGACTGATGTCTGTGTAGGTGGTCTAGTTACATGGAACACACATGATACACACATGAAGCGTCATCAGGTTTTTGATGAGTCATTTGAGATTAACCTATCTTCACGAACAAGCGTGAGTGAGTGAATGTTGTCAAAAGCCGCAGATGACAATATTCCAGCTCTATCACAGCGGTATGTTAAGAATCGAATCAGGCCTCAGTAAAGCTTTCAAAACGTTTTATGGTAGACATGTGGAGGACATTTCCAAATTTGACGCATCAGTGACAAAAAATGATGTCCGATGCAATTTCCTAGTTTGACTTGTACCATATGTTCCCGATTTTCCCCGACTTTTCGCGAACTCCTGGTATCATTACTATCTGATAATTGTAGAAGAGTCTCAAGTTGTCTGCTCATTCCATGGGCGTTAGTTGTGGTCCCCCTCCCCTTCTCTCTCTCTTCCTCCCTCTCTCTGAAATATATCTTAAATCTAGTTCATATATTGCCAAAATACTATTATCAAATGCTATAAAGTAGACACTTCATACAATTTGGTGAATGAATGATAATACGCATAACGTTAGCATATCGAAAAAATGTTTGAGATAGGCCCTCGTTGACAAATTTAGACGCGACCTTAACCTCGATTTGAACGCCAGATGGTTTCTAAGTATGTTACACAGGAAACTAATCTTATCTTCCTTCACTCAAGTATACACTAAAATAGGTTATATTGATTCTTAGATTGCCTTTATCATACAAGCAGCCTTTAGTCTGACTGACTTTGCAGAGCAATGTGTTGAATGTCTTCATAAACTGTTTTTCTCATTTGAGCCACCGTCAAACAGGTGTACGGACAAAAGCCCCCATGGACATAAGCCCTCATGGAAAAAAAAACCCTTGGACGAAAGACCTCTGGACATTACCCCCAACACCTAGGAAAAAAGCCGCTATAAGTTTCATTAGTAAAGAAACAGAAGCTGTAAGGTTTTTAAAAATATTTTATTATTTTACTTCACACAACAGCTTGTTATTCTGGGAGTCCTTTAGCATTGCATATTCTGGGACTGTCCTAATGTTACCTACTGCTATGTCCTATACCGTGCAGAAACTCTACAACACTTATCTTTTGATCATGTCCCAGGTTCTGCAGTCGGAGCTGTCTGAAATATCTTGATCTAGAAATCATTTTGATGTTTTCTTAATTAATACTTTGAGGCTCCCCTTATCAATGGTTAATTTTTACAAGTTGGTTAAACTTGTGGGTGTTTTTAAACATTTATTTTAAGCAAAACATTTACTTATATAAATGACAAAATAATAGCTGATAGGGCTTTTGTCCTAAGGGGATTATGTCCATGAGGACTTTTGTCCAGAATGTTATATCATTTGTGTTATACCACGTGTATATATCATTATATACTGAACCGCAAAAGAAACGTCACATGGATAGATATTTGAGAAACCTTATTTTTCCAAACACTGTTAACATACTTTGAGACATATTAAAAAGATGAAACTTGGCAAAACTGATCATCAAGGTTGAAATTAAAGTGTCAACTGTTCTCAAAGTGAAACACAACACTGAGAAAATGGCATCACAAGTCAGTGTCTCGTGTGTCCGCCATGTGCATTGATGACTGCCGTGCAACCTCGATACAGCGAATGGATGAGGCGGTGGATGAAGGCCATAGGCACTTGGGCCCACACTCTGAGGAACGCCCGACGCAGTTCAGCCGCAGTTGTCGGCCTTGGTCGGACGTCATTCAGCCGTCTTTGAATCTCGTCCCACAGGTGCTCAATGGGATTTAAATCGGGTCTGAGGGAAGGTCACTGCATGGTTCTGATGCCATTCTGCTGGAGTCTCTTGTTGCTCTTGTTGCTCTCGAAGTGTGGACACGGGCGTTATCATGCTGAAACTCGTTGTTGCGGCGACGTGCCAAATGAGGTATGGCGTGTGGTCTCAAGACTTGATCAATCTACAGAGCTGCTATGACACCTGGACCGATGTTCTGGAAGACCCCAGGGCCGACACTCTGTGTAAGACCAATTCCTACCCACACCATGATGCTCGGACCAGCCAAGGAGTCTCTCTCAACAACACAAGCATCCGAATAACATTTCCCACGGCGTCGCCAGACTCTCTCTGTGTCATCTGCTGTTGGGATACAGTAACGGCTCTCGTCTGAGAAGAGGACTCTTCTCCACTGCTGGTGGCGCCAATGCTGGTGCTGCGATGCACACTGACGACGGTCCCGGCGATGACGTAGTGTCAGAATGGATCCTCGGTGTGGCCTGTGACAGTGGAGGTGTCTGCTCGTCAATCGTCGACGCACGGTGTCCGCACTAATGTGTCGCTGGTGTGTCCCCATGGTCTGTCGAACAGTTTCCGCAGCAGTAACAAAGCGATCTTGAAGATGCTTTCGTACAATCCCTGGTCTTCCCCTACGTGGTCGGTCATCTGTAGTGATGGTGGTCTGTTACCGTTGCTGGAGCCTGTATGGTCCTTACGTGAATTCGAAATGCATTGGCTTCTTGCCGGGCGGTTTGTCCAGCTTGCAGTCGTCCAATGGCTTGGTGTCGCTGATTTCTTGTCAATCTTGGCATGTGGTAGAAATTCAAAAACGAATGAATGTTATCTTAGTGGATTTTTATAGCTCAAGAAATGGGGGAATGCATGTGCATTTCAATTTGCACAGAAATCACGTGTATCGGGTTACCATGGCCGTTGCCGTGATGCTTTTGGGCGTTCGGTTTTATTGTCATCTGCTTTGTTTTTTATCATCAAATTTCATTTTTCCGGACAAAGTAATGTTAAATTTTAGAAACTTTGACAGAATGACCCAGATATTTAAATGCAATGTTACTTGGGGTGCCGTTTCTTTGGCGGTTCAGAATATATAGTGCAGGATGTTATATTATGTGTATATATCAATGAACAGAGTGAAAGTTGTTATACCACGTGTATATATAAATAAACATAGAACAAGATCTGATATTATGTGTGTATATCTGTATGCACAGTTAAGGATATTATATCACGTCTATATATCAATACACACATTGCAGGAAATTGTATCATTTGTGTATGTTTATGTTCATGTGCGGAATGTTATACCATGTGTGTATATCAATATACATATGCAGAACGTTATACCATGTGTGTATATCAATATAAATATGCAGAATGTTATACCATATGTGTATACCAATATACACATGCAGAATGTTATACCATGTGTGTGTGTGTGTATATCAATATTCATAGTGCATGAGGCTATACCAAGTGCATTGTTCGATTTACTCATCGCAGAATGTTATAGCACTTGTAGTTTCCATACACGCAGTACAGGTGTTATACCATGTGCATATATCAGTACATGTTGTGTGTGATGTTATGAAAACACGAACATCATTTCCATAACCATAAGAAACAGCACGTGAACACTAAGGAGGAGTATAGGTACCCCGGCGAGTAAACATCAAGATGTGATGTTTACGTATTGCTGTGGATAAAGGTAACTGACACAGACATAACACATTCAAGGGGAAAAATTTTGGTTCCCATATATTTAGAGTATGCCTAGTGGCGGCACAGTTCTGTCAGTAGCCAGAGTGAGTAAGTATGATTTTTCGTCCTTTTTAGCAATATTCCAGCAATATCATGGCTTGCGACAACAGAAATAAGCTTCACACCTTGTTTTGTTTGTTTGTTGTTTTACGCCGCACTCAGCATTATTCCAGCTATATGACGGCAGTCTGTAAATAATCGAATCTAAACCAGACAATCCAGTAATTGACATCATTAGCATCGATCCACGCAATTTGGATATAATGACATGCATCAACCAAGTCAGCGAGCCTGACCACCCAATCCCGTTAGTCGCCTCTTACGACAAGCGTAGTCGCCTTTTACGGTAAGCATGGGTTGCTGAAGACCTATTCTACCCCGGATCTTCACACCTTGTACTCATGTCGGGAATCGAACCCTGGCCTTCAACGAATGCTATAACGACAAGTCTACCCACCCACCCACCCACCCGCATTTGCCTGAGAGTGTGGAACTGCTGAACATATATGTCATTCTCTTGATTATGATTCACATCTTGAATATATTTGGGACATTCACGGTAATAATCATAACGTGGCAACATACGTTATATGTAGGCGTCTTAATATTGTGATACCTATACGTACAGGTGAGAATGTGAGAAGCACCGACCGTGTACGTGCTAAACAAATGAAACAGGAGACAGAAAGTGGGTACAATTATCAATATTCGTGTACTCATCCAAATCCATAAACTTATAGCGTATCGGTCAATACACCTACGGTTTGGTTAACGAAACGACTAAACTGTACATACCTGTATTCATACAGTGATGTAATAACAGTGAACATTGTCATGGGTCATGATACGAGTGTTCATGGGTCATATGACCGGTATTCATGGGTTATGTGACGGATGTTCATGGGTCATGTGACCGGTATTCATGGTTCAATTGACGGGTGTTCATGGGTCATGTGACCGGTATTCATGGGTTATGTGACTGGTGTTCATGGGTCATGTGACTGGTGTTCATGGGTCATGTGACGGTTGTTCATGGGTCATGTGACGGGTGTTCATGGGTCATGTGACCGGTTTTCATGGTTCATGTGACTGGTGTTCATGGGTCATGTGCTAGGTGTTCATGGGTCATGATACGAGTGATCATGGGTCATGTGACTGGTGTTCATGGGTCATGTGCTGGGTGTTCATGGGTCATGATGCGAGTGTTCATGGTTCATGTGACTGGTGTTCATGGGTCATGTGCTGGGTGTTCATGGGTCATGATACGAGTGTTCATGGGTCATGTGACTGGTGTTCAAGGGTCATGTGCTGGGTGTTCATTGGTCATGATACGAGTGTTCATGGTTCATGTGACTGGTGTTCATGGGTCATGTGCTGGGTGTTCATGGGTCATGATACGAGTGTTCATGGGTCATGTGCTGGGTGTTCATAGGTCATGATACGAGTTTTCATGGGTCATGTGAAGGGTGTTCATGGGTTATGTGACTGGTATTCATGGTTCAATTGATATTCGGTATTCATGGGTTATGTGACTGGTGTTCATGGGTCATGTGACTGATGTTCATGGGTCATGTGACGGGTGTTCATGGATCATGTGACCGATATTCATGGTTCATGTAACGGGTGTTCATGGGTCATGTGACGGGTGTTCACGGGTCATGTGACGGGTGTTCATGGGTTATGTGACGGGTGTTCACGGGTCATGTGACGGCTGTTCATGGGTCATGTGACGGGTGTTCATGGGTCATGTGACGGGTGTTCATGGGTCATGTGCCGGGTGCTCATGGGTCACGTGCCAGATGTTCATTGGTTATGATACGAGTGTTCATGGGTCATGAGACGGGTTCTAGGACCGGAGTTCATGGGTCATGTGACGAATGCTCATGGATCATGTGACGGGTATTCATGGGTCATGTGATTGTGTTCATGGGTCATGTGGCGGGCGGTTTCCAATGGTACTATAAATAGAAATCTCCGTAGCATGTGAACGGGAGCAGGCAGAATCACTTGTTATGTTCTAATTCGCTTCGCTCAAACGAACATAAAATATTTACCATGTACAACATACGCATCTCAAGGGTTATGCCTACCGCAGCTGCCAAGCGAGCAGGTTTATTAACAAACACAAATAAATACACTGGTCATACTCGTAAACAGTCTTTCAAGTCGAATCCACGAATCTGTCGAAACGGCGTCCGTTTTCAGTTCCCTGAAATATACAATTCCAAACTAAAATTGTGACCAAAGCAAACGTGATGTAACACGTTTTGCAGTTGTTATTCAGAAATGTTTGAAATTATAACCATGATATACTTATCTTAAATTAATCTTCTTTTTCTTCCGTTTTCCTTGGCTCAGTTTTGGATCCCAACTGTAACTTTACCAGCAACTTCCCATATCACACACATCGTATCACTCAAATAAAAGGATCTGCCCAACGGCCGAACTTTGTCCATCGGCTCAACTTTGCCCAACGGCTAAACACTCCAATACTCTGTAACCTCAAATTCTTGAGCCAATATTTAGCAAGATGTAAAATCTGCCCGCCTGTGTGATGCGAAGACCTCGAATGGTGCAACACAGTCAGTGAACACTTCCTCACGTCACTTCGTGACACCACATTCACGTGCAATGTACCTGGCTGCGGCAGGCAAACTCTTACCGAATTTAACCCATAATAAATTAATGTACAATTACCTTGAACGAAACATCTGCGGTGGTCGTGACTGCCATGCTGTGTCAACAACCGTTATCTTCTTTCTGCCTGCATCTCACACGTGTAGTGTCAGGGTTCTGTAATGGGTTGATAATCAGCCACATTTAATAGTTGAGGTTTCTGTCAGAATATGAAAATACATGGATTAGTGTAACTGTTTCACTTTTTAGTTTCCCATTGCAGTTGTGCTATGTTCTCATTGGTGACCAACTCGTGTTATTCCAGGACAAGCCGAATAGCGACTCGTGCCCCTCTCTTGGCCATTTTTGCGACCGGGTTCCGTCTTAGCGCAAACGGGCATACCTAAAACAATTGTCAACTCGTTGCGTAATGGTTCACATATTATTTCCCCATGTATTATATATATTTCAGATGCAATTTAAAGCACATTGGGGCGTGCGGAATTATACAGTATGATTGAACACGTTTAACTGTGTCTTTGGTATATTTTTAGATGCAAGACATCTGTAAAATCAAAAATTATTTGTGAGGGATTCTTTGACGAAGAACTTGAAACCATAAACGGATTCTGATTGGTTTGTCGTATTTTCGCACATAACATTCATCGATAGCCCCCTATCGATGAATGTTATGTGCGAAAATACGAGTCTTCTTGCAGGTTACGGAAAGGGGCGAGTTGTGACGAATGGCTTTGTTTTATGTACTATTTTTTGTCATTTGGTTTTTACTGAAATTATGTTTATCAGGTGCCCGTGAAACGTGTCCAGGTGACTTTCGGCAAGATAAGCTTATCAGTGTCTGTGAGTGAGTGACTTGGGTTTAACATCGATTTAAACAGAATTTCAGCTATATCAGACTGTCCCTCTGGTTTAGTACCAACAATGCAATCAACATTTGTAGGGCAGATATGGGATTCCAACACACGGTTATCAGATTCTGGCTAAGGGAGGCTACTCTGCAAAGCGAATCGCGGCACCATGGATGACTATACAGGAACTGAATACGGTTCATCCTCCAATTTGAAGAACCTAACTCCGAGTTGGACGTATGCAGAGTGTAAAGTATTTATGTATAGGTGCTCATGTACAAACAAAGCAACTGTTAAGATATCTATTACCTGTTCGTTTATCCCTACTATTTCATGAAAGGCGCGTAGTCAGTTGAGTGAGTGAGTATGGTTTAACGCCGCTTTTAGCAATATTCCAGCAATATCACGGCGGGGGACACCAGAAATGGGCTTCACACAGTGTACCCATGTCGGGAATCGAACCACCCGGTTCTTCAGCGTGACGAGCGTACGCTTAAACCACTAGGCTACCCGACCGCCCCCGTAGTCAGATGAAGAAAATGGTGCCACTTAACATTTCAGAAAACGTCCGCTCCATACTTTGCCACAGTGCAAATTAACAAATCTGTTTGAGTAATTGCTTTGAGTATGTTTTTACGTCGCTTTTTCCTCGCTATATCACGGCGGAAACACAGGAAATGGGCTTCACCCATGGTGCCCTTGATGGGAATCGAACTCTGGCTGTCGGTGTGACGAGCGAACACTTTAACCACAAGACTACTCCGCCACCCAAGAACATAGCGAGATATGTGAGTTCATTTCTGCAACTACCGCTTGTGTTGTGGCAGAAATTGAGTATCCCGCTCTTTGAACAATTTTTCAGTTGTATTACTGTGTTTTTGTTTGGCACTTGGGTGAAAATCACAAAAATAGGATTTTATGCTAATACGCCAAGAATCATATTCGGGGCGAATCTGGGATGAGAACCCATGACTGGTAACGCAATTCTTCACAGTATACTCCTGCGACACTTTCATCCGTGTCTCTTATTCCATCAGATACTGATGACCAACCAGGGTATGTAGGTAACAACGTGTACATTCATTCCTAAGAGAAAGGTACGCAGTAGAAATCGTTGGTGTATTGATAAGCCACGCCTTGTGCCGATATCTCGCGAGGTCGGACAAGGTGCGCCGCTGACACGCTGCCGTTTTTCTTCACAGCTCGCAGTCTTCTGAGCGGCAGGTACCTCGTTCATTACAAGAATCTAATATACACTTTAATCGATGACAGGGACCCGCTCCCCAAAGTGGTCGTATCGCTACGACTGTCTATGTTAAGGTATGGGAGTTACGATCGTTTTAGCGTTGTGACCGCTTTGTGAAACGGGCCCAGGTATGTAGGGGGATTTTCATACTGGCAACTCCTCAGCCAAATAATCAGATGCTATTCAGGTGTGTACGCCTTGATAACAATATAGCAATTAAATAATTTAGGGACACCACTCATATGTCACGTGTACATTTAGGAACACAATTGTTTATTGTCTCTACATGTAATGTTGAATACGTTAGATTCGTTGCTGAGGCTGCCTGGTATTTCCGGTGTGATCCGGAACTCATATCTGCATCCGGGTAACGACAAGTTGCACCAGGAGTGGGGAAGGTAACCTTAGCAACACAACTTACGCCCATGGAATGAGCAGACAACTTGAGACAGTTCATCAAACTCTTCTACAATTATCAGATAGTAATGATACCAGGAGTTCGCGAAAAGTCGGGGAAAAACGGGATCATATGGTACAAGTCAAAATAGGAAATTGCATCGGACATCATTTTTGTCACGGATGCGTCAAATTTGGGAATATCCTCCACATGTCTACCATAAAATGTTTTGAAAGCTTTGCTGAGGCCTTGAATGTTGTAACCTTGACCAAACAACTTCTGAGCAAGAGTCGTATGATGATCTTTGAAATCTTTGCGGCAAGTGCATGCTCGATTGTATCTCAAACATTTACTGGAATATTGCTCGACGTGAAGGGAAAGTTGACTATTGGAAAGTTGAGTCATCCCTCTTGTCATACAGTCTTGTATGGCGATAGGTCAACGTGTCCTGATGGCGTGAATTGTTGCCCATGCAGTCAACCTCTAGTCTGTCTGACCCAGATTCGATTCTTAATATACCGCTGTGATAGAGCTGGAATACTGCATCTGAGGCTTTCGACAACATTCACTCACTCACGCGTGTTCGTGAAGATAGATTAATCTCAAATGACTCATCAAAAACCTGATGACGCTTCATGTGTGTATCATGTGTGTTCCATGTAACTAGACCACCTACACAGACATCAGTCCATCTGGCGACTCTCAGCAATGCAAACATGACGGTCTCTCTGTGGAATGTACCTCACACTCCCCTCAAAGACCGGAGCTTGCAAAACTCTTAGTGTGCACCTTTTAGGAACAAATCGAGAGTATGCCACAATGCTGGTCAATGTTAACTTCTCGTTAAAGGTTCCCACTTCCTTGAATTTTGTACAAGAGCATAAGGTTTAAAATCTGTATTTCATATCTACTCAATAGGTTGAATTTTAGATATGTTTAGCAGACTATACCATTTTACTTTATCGGTGATCAGTGAGTGTATCAAACACAGAGAGAGAGAGATAGAGAGAGAGGGGAGAGGGGGAGAGAGAGAGAGGAAGAGTGAGAGACAGAGGGAGAGGGAGAGAGAGAGGGAAAGAGAGAGAGGGAGAGAGAGGGAAAGGGTAAGAGAGAGTAGGGGAGAGAGAGGAAGAGAGCGAGGGACAGAGGGGAAGAGAACGAGGGGAGAGGAGAGAGGAAGAGAGCGAGAGACAGAGGGGAAGAGAGAGTGGGAAAAGAGAGTGAGAGAGAGAGGAAGAGAGGGAGAGACAGGGGGAAGGGAAGGGAGGGGGGAGAGAGAGAGGAAGAGAGGAGAGAGAGAAAGAGAGAGAGAGAGAGAGAGAAAGAGAGAGAGAGAGAGAGAGAGAGAGAGAGATACGGAGACAGAGAGGGGATAAAGATGGGGGATGACGTGTGATTTGTATAGTTGATCTGTTTCCAGAATGAGGCTGAGCGTGATAGTCCTGAGCGTCCTCTGTGTTGCCTGCGCTGCTACCGTGCTGGAGCAGAAGCTTCATGAGTTTGTAAGTGGGCATGTGTTGGATCAACTGCCGCAGAATGAGAGGATCCTGCTGGCGCAGCTGGTGGCTACAGCTGAAAGAAATGAGCTGAAGGAGTTCCTGGACTTAGTGGGGCCATTACCTGTCTTCCAGCTCATCTCAGGTAGGGCCATTACCAGTCTCGCAGCTCATCTTAGACTGTCATAACCAGTCTCGCAGCTCATCTTAGACTGTCATTACCAACTTACAGCTCATCTCAGTTAGTGTCATTACCAACTTACAGCTCATCTCAGGTAGGGTCATTACCAGTCTCGCAGCTCATCTTAGGCTGTCATTACCAACTTACAGCTCATCTCAGTTAGGGTCATTACCAGTCTCGCAGCTCATCTTAGACTGTCATTACCAACTTACAGCTCATCTCAGTTAGGGTCATTACCAGTCTCGCAGCTCATCTTAGACTGTCATTACCAACTTACAGCTCATCTCAGTTAGGGTCATTACCAACTTACAGCTCATCTCAGTTAGGGTCATTACCAACTTACAACTCATCTGAGTTAGAGTCATTACCAACTTACACATCATCTCAGTTAGGGCCATTACCAACTTACAACTCATTTCAGTTAGAGTCATTACCAACTTACAACTCATTTCAGTTAGAGTCATTACCAACTTACAACTCATCTGAGTTAGGGTCATTACCAACTTACAACTCATCTGAGTTAGGGTCATTACCAACTTACAACTCATCTGAGTTAGAGTCATTACCAACTTACAACTCATCTGAGTTAGGGTCATTACCAACTTACAGCTCATCTCAGTTAGGGTCATTACCAACTTACAACTCATCTCAGTTACCATTATCTTGTGGTTCATCTCAAGGTAGGGCCTCTTATTTATGGAGAACGTGTAATATTACCAACTTACAAGGCCTAGTTTATAGTTAAGATATGATCGTTATATTTCTACACGATGACTGCATTATTCCATGTTTCGTCTTCACAGATCTGCCAGCAAAGCAAATTCACAACCTGACTCGCTATCTCAGCCAGGTAAATGGAACATTATGCTATTAGCGATAAAGCTTACACCGACGATGTAACGTCAGCTGCCGTGATATAGCAATTAGTGACAATGTAACATTAGCTACTGTAATATAGCCCACAATCACAATGTAACATTATGCTTTTGTTAGATAGCCCACGGTGAAAATGTAATATTAGTTGCTGTTACAAAGCACACATTCACAATGTAACATTAGCTACTGTTATATAGCCCACAGTGACAATGTAACATTAGCTTCCGTTTTATAGCCTACAGTCACCATGTAACATCAGTTGTTGTTTTATAGCTGGCAGTGACAATGTAACATTAGCTCCTGTGATATCGGCCCCAGTAGCAATGTAACATTAGCTTCCGTTTTATAGCCCACAGTCACAATGTAACACTAGCTGTTGTTTTATAGCTCGCAGTGATACTGTTACATTAGCTGCTGTGATCTAGCCCACAGTGACAATGTAACATTAGCTGCTGTGATCGAGCCCACAGTCACAATGTAACACTAGCTGCTGTGACCTAGCCCACAGTGACAATGTAACCTTAGCTGCTGTGATCGAGCCCACAGTGACAATGTAACACTAGCTGTTGTTTTATAGCTCGCAGTGACAATGTAACATAAGCTCCTGTGATATAGGCCCCAGTGACATTGTAACATTAGCTGCTGTGATCTAGCCCACAGTGACAATGTAACATTAGCTGCTGTGATCTAGCCCACAGTGACATTAGCTGCTGTTAGAAAGCCCAAAGTCACAATGTAGCATTAGCAGCTATTTTATAGCCGACAGTGCCAATGTAACGTCAGCTGCCGTGATATAGCAATTAGTGACAATGTAACATCAGCTGCTGTGATATAGCAATCAGTGACAATGTAACATCAGCTGCTGTGATATAGCCCTCAGTGTCAGTGTAACAATAGCTGCTGTTATATAGCCCTCAGTGACAATGTAACATCAGCTGCTGTTATATAGCCCTCAGTGACAATGTAACATCAGCTGCTGTTATATAGCCCTCAGTGACAATGTAACATCAGCTGCTGTTATATAGCCCTCAGTGTCAGTGTAACAATAGCTGCTGTTATATAGCCCTCAGTGACAATGTTACACCAGCTGCTGTGATATAGCAATCAGTGACAATGTAACATCAGCTGCTGTGATATAGCCCTCAGTGACAATGTAACATCAGCTGCTGTGATATAGCAATCAGTGACAATGTAACATCAGCTGCTGTTATATAGCCCTCAGTGACAATGTAACAATAGCTGCTGTTAGATATCCAACAGTGAGAATGTAACATGAGCTATTGTAAGATAGCCCTCAGTGACAATGTAACATTAGCTACTGTTATATAGCCCGCAGATAGAATGTAACATTGGCTTCCGTTTTTTAGCCCACAGTCACACTGTAACATAAGCTATTGTTATATAGCCCACAGTCACACTGTAACATTAGCAGCTGTTTTATAGACCGCAGATAGAATGTAACATTGGCTTCCGTTTTTTAGCCCACAGTCACACTGTAACATAAGCTATTGTTATATAGCCCACAGTCACAATGTAACATTAGCAGCTGTTTTATAGACCGCGGTGACAAGGTCACATTAGCTCCTGTGATATAGCCCTCAATGACAATTTAAAATTAGCCGCTGTGATATAGCCCCCCAGTGACAATGTAACATTAGCTGCTGTGAGATTGCCCTTGGTCACACTGTAACATTAGTTGGTGTGAGATCCAACAGTGAGAATGTAACATGAGCTATTGTAAGATAGCCCACAGTGACAATGTAACATTAGCTACTGTTATGTAGATAGCTGTGATGGTAAAACTGAAGCGTCACTGTGTGGAGTCATGACAGTCCACTCTACACACCCTCCTCTGTTTCAGGCCCTCATTGCCGAGGCTGCAGCCGTACCGCCGTCACTCCTACTCCATTGGAACCCCTTGTTGGGCTTACTTGGTGTTCGCACGAGACACAATTGATACCATCTTGTGTCGTCATTGACGACGACGTATACTGATTAAATGTCTTCCCTAAAAAAATATCCATATATTCACATTTATCATAAACTGAACCCTCACTTAAAGTGATAATGAAATATGTGTCTGATCCGTATGTTTACACGAGAAGGGCAGGTAACTCTAGCTGTTCAAGCTTACATGTTGACCCTTTACCAATTTAACGAGAAAGGTCAGATATCAGAGTGTTCAAGACGTGGTCCTAAAGACGTGGTAAGCCTGGAGCAGAATAATCTCCCAGATCCTCACGAGTTGACTGATGAGGATGGTGTGAGAGCAAGCGGGGTCTCGTGCCCGGAAAGCATGGCTCGAAGCATGATGTTAACCATTGGTTTTCATCATGCAGACCTTATTTTTTGCAGGCCACTGTTTTCATGTGCAGCAGGAACATTCTGGCCGTTATGTAACATATCACTCACTCCCTAATGAAAGGTGAAGATCCGTTTAGAATTGGTCTTCAGCAACCAATGCTTGTAAGAGGCGAGTGATAGGATCGGGAGGTCAGGCTCGCTGACTTGGCTGATGCATGTCATCGTATCCCAATTGCGTAGATCGGTGCTCATGATGTCAATCACTGTATTATCTAGTCCAATTACAACAACTACAACAACAACACTCTCGAAAGGTAAATCCACAAGCGTTCTCAGTATTTCGAAATTGTGAACATTTTCTCATAGAAACCTATCAACAGCCAACCATGTGTTTACAACAGATTGAAATTATATAAAGACAGATGATAATGATGATGCTTATTATGCCAATTGTTCAGCTGGTGAAGACCAGCTTCTCGACACAACAGCTTTCTCCACTGGCCTCTGCCTAGGCTCAGCGTTGCCAGATTGTTATCTTCTGGGGGATTATGGTACCAGACTGTGCCAGAGCTCGATATATAGAAACACTGTCTATTCGGACTCACCTGTGGGAGATGCTACAGCTATTGCACCATGTTACCAAAGTATGGCACGGTGTAGGTGTGGATCCATTTATGAGTACCAGTGTAGGGGAAATCCCGCTGTCAACACGTATAAAATATACTGCAGGGCAAAACAAAGTATACACTTGAAAATTGGATGTGACCAAAACATTACATGCTATGGAAAACATTACTGAAAATGGTGGCCGAAACACTGCATCACTAACGTTCAAAACACAACTGTGCACATTGAATGATTACTCGGACCTATCTTATAGATGGCAAAGTGGGTGGATAACGGTCTAATGGCTAAAGTGTCTGTCCGGAGATCTCCTGCCGCGTCATATCCAAATACGTATAAAGATGGTACTTGTTGGTACTTCTTTGTACTCGGCCTAACGCTCCGCATATAGTAGATAATGCAAGGGAAACACACACAAGCACACACAGAGACACACAGACAAACACAGAGACCAAGACACACACGGACACACACACACACACAGAGACACACACACACACACACACATATATATATATATACACACACACACATATATATATATGTTACAAATGTTACGTTTATATATATATATATATATATATATATATATATATATATATATATATATATATATATATATATATATATATATATATATATATAAACGTAACATTCGTAACATTCCTTGTCGTATATATGACTGATTACCACCTTGTCATGAGGTGGGCTTCTGAAGAGTGTAATGTCAATGTCTTCATATTATCTCCCTTTGGCTGTGCCAATTAGGTGGGTGAGGTGAGGTGAAATGGGGTTTTACGTCGTGTTGAAGATTATTGCACTAATGTAGCGATATATGGGAATTATGTATGTGAACGACGTCTTGCAGAATCAATTCCGTCATGAAATTTTCTCCATTGCAACATTTGCTCTGATATTTAATGATTAAAGTGTTTGTCGTGTGATCTATATCCCAGCAGTGTTGAACAACGCAATCTACAAGAGACCACTGGACCACATTTCTACCTTCCCGAGGCAAGGGAGGTAACTCACTATAAAGGTGGAAACTGGACATTTACAGTCAAGTAACTCCCTTGCCACGAGAAGATGCATTTCTACGGGTGTACATAATGCTTGAATGAAGAACACAAAATTTAAACGTTAAAAACAAACGAAATGACAAAATTCAAGTACACAGACTTGTATATTTATCCTTTCAAATAACGCACACACAAAGATTGATAAAATATTCCACTTACAAATTTCTCTGCTTTAATTAACTTTTTTGATCATTAATGAGGAAAATGAAGTTTATTAACTGTACATAGTTAGGAAAAAAACATTAACACATTTACCCCTATCATTAGCCTTATGTGTTTATATATAAAGTAACATTGATGAATGTACAAGATACCCGTTTATGGCCGTTATTATCTCATATAAAACAAACTTTATGTTGAAACATGTCGTTTAGGGAGAGGGCATTCTAAGTTGGAAGAACTTGTCCCCCAATCCCGTTCACTCCTTGTGAATAAATATATTTAAATTAAAAACATAGATATCTACAGCTAAGTCTTCACTGCCACAAGTATACAAGTGCAAAATAATCCGCGTTTAATAATAATTTTGGTTGAATAGTGTTTTTGTTGAAAATAAACCTATCGAATGAGTTAGTTAAAGTGTTTAACGAGTTGACACCGCTGCACCCTCTCTCAAGATTTGCGTATAACTGCAGTTTTGCTACCTCGGTGTGTCAGAACCTATACCGTGGATGATTCGAAATGCAGATTCGCCCTGATTATGCTGCTAGGTTTACCAACATAATACTCTTGCTTGTGGGTGCTTAGTCTTGCCAAGTGTTGGTAAGGAAATCAAGGTCGCCTATTTGAGCCAAAATAATAATAATAATAATAATAATAAGAAGAAGAAGAAGAAGAAGAAGAAGAGAAGAAGAAGAAGATGAAGAAATGTCACGCTTGCATCCCAAGTACCAAGTTGTCCGACTCCTCATTGTTCTCGGTGCCTTAGGTTTCGTACCTCCCAATCTGTTGACTGACATAGGGAGAGTGCCCGGGTTTGCTGCCAGGAATACAGCCCTTCTGACAATCTGGGTAATGCAGAAGGCTGCAGTGTTGGGGAGTCTTCACATTCTCCGAAAAGTTTTGCGTGCGTTTGACTAGGCAGCGCTTCCTGGGAGAAGTCCCATTCGCTGTCTGGGCTTGCGTGTAGAGGGGGCAAGGGCCCTGAGCTGAGCACAGCCTGACTGTGCCAGGATCACCCAAACCCTCTTTGCTGCATTTTATAGTGTAACCTATACATAATAATAATGATGATGATAATGTTACTAGCTTCACATACCGAATACCACGTTATCAGTACACACGATTTGAAAGAGAAACTTATCATTTTACTTATCTCTGATTTTCTATGGGAAAATTGTATCGGCATATGATTAGTAATGATCACGTGAACCTTGACACAAAAACAAATTGAATAATTTTTTTTCGTAATAAATTTAGAGATACTGCCAACAGATTTAAGCATTTTATAAAAGCTTTCATCATAATTGTATTGCTCAGAATGAAAGAACACATAGTTTTAAAAGTATGCTCATTGAAAAGCTGTTACGATCGGTGATGCGAGAAAAAAATTCGCAAATGAAATTGTGTTCTGTTATAGCCGCTTGTTCGATAATACTCGAACCGCTCTGCATGAAAAGAGATGGACATGGCTAAATCGCTATGTTCAATGAGTGAGTTAATGTAAATTGAATTTAACACCGCTTTTGGACAGTATCCTAGTTACATCACGGCGTTTCAGCTCAATGTGGGAGGAAAGCCCGAAGTGATGCGCCGGTATGGTGCTGACAAACTTGGAAACATGATCGGGGCGTATCGGGGTTCGAACCCACGATCATAGGTTTCTGCACAGAATTGTGCCCCCCACCCCCAGCAGAGAACCATTATTTCTTACCAAATAAATTGAAAAGAAAATATAAAGCGAGTCATATTGTAGGTTTTACATACCCAGATATACCAAGGGATGTGTGCTTTATTCATACTAACACCAGCTACATAGTACAACCGGAACTAAACGAGTTCTGTGACTTCAACACGCACTCTTGTGCAGCCGACTCCTCGGATCCATGGCAAGCTGAAAGAAACAACAACTTTTGTAAATAAGATAATGATTATCAGCTGATCAGCTCGTGTCATCTAATGTGGGAGGATCATGCAAAGTGACGCAGTGTACTTGTTTATTACTTTGGTGAAACAGACGGATCCTGGCACGTCTAAGGGCAACAATCCTGCACAGTGCCTTAGGCCCCTGGGAACAATTATCCTTATGAAGAAAAAAACCCTTTTGTAAATATGTTTTTTTACCATGGAAGAGTAAAGGTTTAGACTTTTGCTGACTCACTTGTTCATTTTGCGTTGGTCTGAGTTCCACTGTTCACTGCTTTCATATGTTGTTCTGAGTACAACATTTTATTCAGCCAAGTTACAAAATCCTTTCTGAAAGCAGCCAGTTCCGCCATTATGTCGTTAATGTTCGCTACCCCTCTCTTGTCCTCGACACTATTCGCACCATTCTGTAGATGCACCAGGCCGTTCACAAGCACACCTTCAACCTCATGGACAATATCAATGACTTCAGCCTTGAGACGCTCCCAAAAAACCTTTATTATTTCAGCAATGTCGCGTTTCCCAAACCCCCCTGCTCCTGTGTTGGCAGTGACCACTACACCTTCAAACATCTGCCCAATCTGATGACCAATGTTTTCAAATTCCAGTTTCAGATTGCTCCAGGAGTCTCGTTTCGTGGCATCCCTCTCATCCACAGCGTTAGTGAGGGCGATGTCAGCAGCACCCTCTACAGACAGGCCGACTTGGTGAGCAGGTTCGTGTTCCAGATCTCTCCAGAACTCGCGTTTATTCTTAGCGCCTCTCTTACCAGCCGGTGTACCAATTGCAGCGTTAGTCAAAGCCGTCACTGCCGCTGTCTCTGCCGCATGCCCAACGTTGTGGGCAACATTCTCAATGTCGTGTTTCAGGTGGCTCCAGAAGTCTCGCTTTTGATCGTCGACATCACGTTTTCCAGCGAGAATCGCGGTGGCAGAATTGGCGAGATTAGCAGCGACCGCCCCTTCAACAACGTGTCCGACCTGATGTGCGACATGTTCTACCTCGTGTTTCAGATGGCTCCAGAAGTCTCGCTTTTGATCGTTGACATCACGTTTTCCAGCGAGAATCGCGGTGGCAGAATTGGCGAGATTAGCAACGACCGCCCCTTCAACAACGTGTCCGACCTGATGTGCGACATGTTCTACCTCGTGTTTCAGATGGCTCCAGAAGTCTCGCTTTTGATCGTTGACATCACGTTTTCCAGCAAGGATCGCGGAAGCAGAATTGGCGAGATTAGCTGCGTGACCATCTTGGTATGCGACATGTTCTGTTTCGTGTTCCAGATCTCTCCAGAACTCGCGTTTATTCTTAGCGCCTCTCTTACCAGCCGTTGCACCAATTGTAGCGTTAGTCAAAGACGTCACTGCCGCTGCCTCTGCCGCATGCCCAACGTTGTGGGCAACATTCTCAATGTTGTGTTTCAGGTGGCTCCAGAAGTCTCGCTTTTGATCGTTGACATCACGTTTTCCAGCAAGGATCGCGGAAGCAGAATTGGCGAGATTAGCAGCGACCGCCCCTTCAACAACGTGTCCGACCTGATGTGCGACATGTTCTACCTCGTGTTTCAGATGGCTCCAGAAGTCTCGCTTTTGGTTGTTGACATCACGTTTTCCAGCAAGTATAGCGGAAGCAGAATTGACGAGGTTAGCAGCGACCGCCCCTTCAACAACGTGTCCGACCTGATGTGCGACATGTTCTACCTCGTGTTTCAGATGGCTCCAGAAGTCTCGCTTTTGATCGTTGACATCACGTTTTCCAACGAGGATCGCGGAAGCAGAATTGACGAGGTTAGCAGCGACCGCCCCTTCAACAACGTGTCCGACCTGATGTGCGACATGTTCTACCTCGTGTTTCAGATGGCTCCAGAAGTCTCGCTTTTGATCGTTGACATCACGTTTTCCAGCAAGTATAGCGGAAGCAGAATTGGCGAGGTTGGCTACGACCGCCCCTTCAACAACGTGTCCGACCTGATGTGCGACATGTTCTACCTCGTGTTTCAGATGGCTCCAGAAGTCTCGCTTTTGATCGTTGACATCACGTTTTCCAACGAGGATCGCGGAAGCAGAATTGGCGAGATTAGCTGCGACCGCCCCTTCAACAACGTGTCCGACCTGATGTGCGACATGTTCTACCTCGTGTTTCAGATGGCTCCAGAAGTCTCGCTTTTGATCGTTGACATCACGTTTTCCAGCAAGGATCGCGGAAGCAGAATTGGCGAGATTAGCTGCGACCGCCCCTTCAACAACGTGTCCGACCTGATGTGCGACATGTTCTACCTCGTGTTTCAGATGGCTCCAGAAGTCTCGCTTTTGATCGTTGACATCACGTTTTCCAGCAAGGATCGCGGAAGCAGAATTGGCGAGGTTAGCTGCGACCGCCCCTTCAACAACGTGTCCGACTTGATGTGCGACATGTTCTACCTCGTGTTTCAGATGGCTCCAGAAGTCTCGCTTTTGATCGTTGACATCACGTTTTCCAGCGAGGATCGCGGAGGCAGGATTGACGAGATTAGTAAGGTGACCATCTTGGTGTGCGACATGTTCTGTATCGTGTTTCAGGTCACTCCAAAAGACAATGCCCTGTTGAGATTTTATGGCACTGACATCGCAGACCAGTACTGTTAGAAGAGAGGCCAACACTAACATCTTGAATCCTGAATGAATGGAATGAAGCCATTAGTGATCAGTGAGTGAGTGAGTGAGTCATTGAGTATTATTTTACACAGCCTTTGGCAGGGGACACATACACATTGTTCCATACATGGAAGTCATGTGGGAATTACGTCGCTACATAAGTGTAATAGTTTCACCGCGACGTTAAACCCTATTTCACGCCACTAGGGCTGGGACGAGTCCAAATTTACTACCCGGGTACCCACCCCCCTATTACCCGACCCTACCCGGGTACCCACCCCCCTATTACCCGACCCTACCCGGGTTCCCACTGTAGGTCTCGAGCGATACAAAATGTCCGATTGGGAATTTTGTTTTACCACAGCACTTGCAAAACGTATTTAGATATATGCATTAAACGATCTGGTCATGCATACACTGAAGTTGACTTAAGTTAAATCTTTTTTCAACCATATGAAAAGTCAGAAGATATGGGTGCATGGTCAGAAAGTTGTGCGAGCATTAGTGGCTTGTAGTGTAACCATAGCGTTCCAGATAATTTTTGTAATTAAACTATATATCACATGACTAACCACGGGTCCGGGTAGTCCTGTGGTACCCGGGTCCTACTCAGTACCCATCCGACCCGGGTACCCGAGTTACCCGTCCCAGCCCTACACGCCACCTTACTTTACCTGAGTGAGTGATTTACAATATCATTATGTTTTTCAACAATATTCCAGCGATATCACGGCAAATCTGGACCAATCAATCGGTGCCAAAGTGCATGGGATGAGCTAGAGCTAATATACCATTGATAGTAAGAGCATCTTACCACGTTGACATGGCAACCATAGCAAAGATGGCATCTACAACACAAGGCGCCTGAACACTCGGCCAATTTAGTTGCCACCTACGACTCGCATAGTCTCGCATAGTCTCGCATTGAATATCATTTGTAGAATTCAGTATAAGATTATATATTAACATTGATTTCTTTTGGAACAGCTCAAACGATGGAAAGTGATTTTACAAACGTAGGGTATTACAACAAATAAACGTGATTTGAAAATGGCAATACGCATCAAATAAGTATGTATACATTTGTTTTTGTTTCTTTGTCGTTTAACGCCGAACTCAGCAATATTCCAACTATATGACGGAGGTCTGTAAATACTCGAGTCTAGATCAGACAATCCAGTGATTGATATCATGAGCATCGATCCACGCAATTGGGATACGATGACGTGCATCAACCAAGTCACCGAGTCTGACCACCCGATCCCGTTAGTCGCCCCGTAAGACAATCATAATCGGCTTTTATGGCAAGCATGCACTATATATACAAACTATTAATTTACATTAGCATTTTCAAACTATTGTACGGCTTTGCCCCGAAATGAAAGAAAATGTTTTCTTACCTTCCCGTGAAGCAAGTTTACTGTAATCGTCAAGTACTCAGATTTTATATAAGCTGGTGGTGGGAACATCTGTTGGAAGCCGATCGGTTCTCAATAACATCCTGTAGAAGGGTCCGTATCTCTTGCATAACTGACCTGAACTTCACTGTTCTCATGACCTTGACGTTGCCTTGATATCAGCGTCGTGATCCGTACAAACGTGCTGTCATGATGCCATACGTTAATAAGCGTGCCAGAAACCTATGATTGTGGGCTCAAATTTCGGATCATGCTGATTATGTTTCTAGGTGTGTCAGCACCTACCGTGCTCGTAGATATGGTAAACGTCTGCGACGTAGTTCACTTCGACCATACTGAAAAGGACTTACTTGTGGCGGCTGTATGTGTGGAGGCTGCGTCTCACACCATGTACCCACTCATCACCTCCCAGTACGAGACCGCCTCCGTGGACTAGTGGTAGAGCATCCGCGATCTCCGGCCGCGTCATACAAAAAGACGTTAAAAGATGGAACTTGTTGTTACCCTGGCTGGCGCACGGCATTAAGAGGCTAAAACAAGTACTGGTCGGCTCGGAGTCAGTATACTGTGTCTGAATGGGGTATTCATGTTATGAATGTCGCTATATAAGTGCAATAATCTTAGACGACCGTGATAGTTATGCCCATGTACCATAATGAGAGATTAATTAACCACAAAATAACTGTCATCCCCAAATCAATTCTGTATCTTAAGTTTCATTTCACATTCCAGGGAACAAATACTTGGTTGTTCTTTTCCCTCAAGTATGTAAGTGAGTTAGAGAGTTTGGTGTAGCGTCACTTTCAATTTGAATTTAGGAATCCATATACATGTACAGTAAACTACGGTTATAACGAACTCGAAGGGACTCCTAACTTTAGTTTGTTATAACCGTAGTTCGTTATAAGCACATATACAGCATAACTATAGCAAATAGTCGGGACAAAAAAAATCAGTTCGTTATATCCGTCAGTTCGTTATAAGCGTGTTCGTTATAAACGTACTTTACTGTATTTCAAATTTAATTTATCATTTGGCAGTGCACAGAAAGACCATCAGGCCATATGATTTAACCGTCAAGGCTTGTCACATATGTACATTCCATTGTTCAAATTGCATTAATCATGTAGATAACCGCTCTTTCGCCATTGCATAATCCCTATTAAACCTCACTTTGGTATATCCTGACTATAACGTATTGGTACATTTTGGTCCAAATTGTCTTGAATATATCAAGTTTTTCAGTTTACGTTCATGGTATACCGTAGTCATCTCTAACTTCCTCGTTAGCTGTTCTTGACCGTCATCATGCAGGTCTCTGTACCTGCCTAAACTCCCAAGAATTGTCTCGGGACATCCCGTCCTATTTTCATTTGATCATCCTTGCATGGTATTTTGGGAGGACAAACAATCGCCTACATATCTGACCATCTTGAAGTAGAATCAATACATCCAACCCCTTACACATCTGGCCGTGTTAAAGCAGAATTACGACATCCAGCCCCTTAAACATGTGGTCGTGTTGAGAAGAAGAATTCAGACACCCAATCCCCTACACGTCCTACCATCTTGAACTAGAATCAAGACATATAATCCCCTACACGTCCGGCAACCTTGAAGTACAATCAAGTCATTTAATCCCCTACACGTCTTACCATCTTGAAGTACAATCAAGACATCTAATCCCCTACACGTCCGACAATCTTGAAGTACAATCAAGACATCTAATCCCCTACACGTCCGACAATCTTGAAGTACAATCAAGACATCTAATCCCCTACACGCCCGACAATCTCGAAGTACAATCAAGACATCTAATCCCCTACACGTCCGGCAATCTTAAAGTACAATCAAGACATCTAATCCCCTACACGTCCGGCAATCTTAAAGTACAATCAAGACATCTAATCCCTTACACGTCCGGCAATCTTGAAATACAATCAAGACATCTAATCCCCTACACGTCCGGCAATCTTGAATTAGAATCAAGACATCTTAACCACTACACGTCCGGCAATCTTAAAGTAGAATCAAGACATCTAATCCCCTACACGTCCGGCAATCTTGAAATACAATCAAGACATCTAGTCCCCTACACGTCCGGCAATCTTGAAGAAGATTCAATACATCTAATCCTCTACACGTCCGACAATCTTGAAGTAGAATCAAGACATCCAAGCCCCTACACGTCCGACAATCTTGAAGTACAATCAAGACATCTAATCCCCCGTGTTGAATAAGAATTCAGACACCCATTCCGCTACACATCCTACCATCTTGAAGTAGAATCAAGACATCTAATCCCCTACATGTCCGACAATCTTGAATTAGAATCAAGACATCTTAGCCCCTACACGTCCGGCAATCTTGAAGTAGAATCAAGACATCTAATCCCCTACATGTCCGACAATCTTGAATTAGAATCAAGACATCTAATCCCCTACATGTCCGACAATCTTGAATTAGAATCAAGACATCTTAGCCCCTACACGTCCGGCAATCTTGAAGTAGAATCAAGACATCTAATCCCCTACATGTCCGACAATCTTGAATTAGAATCAAGACATCTAATCCCCTACATGTCCGACAATCTTGAATTAGAATCAAGACATCTTAGCCCCTACACGTCCGGCAATCTTGAAGTAGAATCAAGACATCTAATCCCCTACATGTCCGACAATCTTGAATTAGAATCAAGACATCTTAGCCCCTACACGTCCGGCAATCTTGAAGTAGAATCAAGACATCTAATCCCCTACATGTCCGACAATCTTGAAGTAGAATCAAGACATCTAATCCCCTACATGTCCGACAATCTTGAAGTAGAATCAAGACATCTAATCCCCTACACGTCCGGCAATCTTGAAGTAGAATCAAGACATCTAATCCCCTACATGTCCGACAATCTTGAAGTAGAATCAAGACATCTAATCCCCTACATGTCCGACAATCTTGAAGTAGAATCAAGACATCTAATCCCCTACACGTCCTACGTACCACCAGGCCATTCTATGCCTATACAGCTTCTGTCCTTTCATGAGTCACAGTCTTTCATGTACCGCACAATCATTCTGTTACTTGACATCCCTTCTGGACATTGCTACTTGGTTCAATACATGTGCCCAATCAGTATTGTCCGGAGATTGTCCGTCACTGGATCTTATTATCAAGATATATCTCAATATATTTAATGCTGGTTGGTTAAGGGTCAATTTATGCCACACCTATTAGTGTACGTGACGAGTGATTCAGGGTCAATATATGCCACACCCATTAGTGTACGTGACAAGTGATTAAAGGTCAATATATGCCGCACCCATTAGTGTTCGTGACAAGTGATTAAAGGTCAATATATGCCACACCCATTAGTGTACGTGACGAGTGATTCAGGGTCAATATATGTCACACCCATTAGTGTACGTGACGAGTGATTCAGGGTCAATATATGCCACACCCATTAGTGTACGTGACGAGTGATTAAAGGTCAATATATGCCGCACCCATTAGTGTTCGTGACAAGTGATTAAAGGTCAATATATGCCACACCTATTAGTGTACGTGACAAGTGATTAAAGGTCAATATAATCCACACGCATTGGTGTACGTGACGAGTGATTAAG